TCAGGTCCAAAGGTCGTGCTGGACATCCCCGAGGCGGAGCTTCGACGATTGCAGGAGGAAAAAATCCACGCGGCCATTGCGGAAAGGCGGGTCGAGTTGTCAGAGGGGAAGGAGGTCCCTACGACTGAGCATGTCGAGGTGTGAGTTCTCAGAGTAGAGTGTATTTATCTCTTCTCATGTAGAAGGTTCAACTATGCAAGTTCAGACGAAGACGAGGAAGAAGTTTGGACTGTGGGAGGAGGTACCTGCATAGAGCACTACCAGCAGGGCCTAGATCCTAGGTAGTGGTCTGATTCATCGTATCATTAGAATTCATGCCATTATCGACACTGAGTGTGTCTTTGTGTCTTCACGTACTGCCTATATAGGCAGGTGGAATCGCAAGCAAACAAATCAAACAGAATTCTGCCGGTTTTGACCGCCAGCATCTCGTGATTTCCCAGATAGGCAGGTACAAGCAGTTTTCTCTTCTTCCATCAGTTTTGACCTTCATGGAAGATATTCGTCATGATGATTACCGTCTCGCCATTCTCCATCAGAAGACTCGTTGTGGCGAGAATCGAGGCACATCGGATTCCCGGCTCTCAACTACTGCGCAGGACGGAATGATGATCCATCCCGCGCACGATGTCACCACGGAATCCCCACGTTTCTTGGCCTCAATGTCCTTATCTTCCTCCCCCAGACGTCCACTCTGAAGCCTGTCTGGACAATGTCGCCCTCACAGAATAACCATATGCTGTATTCTGCAGAGGTTGTCTGCTGGATAACAAAGTCGATATCACGCTTCGATGTCGGAAAGTTTCTGAAAACCTTAGGGTTGGTGTCCAGCATGGCCAGCAAAAGGAGCTTCGTCATCGCCCCCATATCTTGATAGGCTAATTGCGTCAATCCCTGCATTGCAACTGCCATGTCACTCTTTAATCTCAGTGACTCTGTGTATCAAGCAAATCGCTGCCGGACAATCCTCCTCCACTGATTGGACCCAAGGTATGATCTACGCTCACCTATTCTGCGCCGGCTTCAGGATCCTAGATCTGATCCATCAACCGTCAGTCATCCTTGTTCATTGCCGATGATGTTCACATTCATTTCCTATTTGGGCCATAGGGTACCATCACTTAGTATAGACGGAGCAGCTTTGCGGCCCGTTCAGCAAAGGGGGACATTGCAACAGATAATACAGGATGGAGCTGGATAAGGATTATTTATGTCCTGGAGGAGACCTCCTTCCTTCCATGACAACATCTTCCACTCTTCTTGCATCATTTCCACCTCAGACGGTCATTATTGGAATTTTTCCTACTGCAGCCATGTCTGCCATGAAGATGGCTCGCCTGTGTCGCTCCTTATATCTGAGCGCCTTGCTCGCTACACCTTTCATCGACCATGCAGTTGCAGCCGACTGGCCGTACTGGACCTTCACCACTGTCCCCTTCCAGCCTCCAAAATTGAACATCACCACGGCAGGTGAAGCCCCGGACCCCGGCCTCATCTTCCTTGGTCCAAGAGGAGACCAACCCAATGGCACGGCCGCCATGATTTATGACCAGGCGGGCAACCTGGTATATCAAGGCCCACATGAAGTGACTGCCAATGTTAATGTCCAGACGCTGTTTGGGAAGCCAGTGCTCACCTTCTGGTCTGGGAACATGTTGGATACTGGGTTTGGATATGGCAAGGTTCATATCCTAGACGATACCTACAAGGAAATATATACGGTCACTCTCGATGGCAACTTTATCACACCAAGTGGCACTGCCGAAGAATCCTATAATGACCTCCATGAGAGTAAGATTACAGAGCGCAATACCATGCTTGTTACTGCGTACAACGTCACCCAGGCAAATCTTACTGCAGTGGGCGGGCCTGAGGATGGTTGGATGCTCGATGGTCATTTTTATGAGATCGATATTTTCACGAAGCAAATTTTCTTCTCTTGGAGCACTGCGAACTACTCAGATCAGATTCCTATTACCCTTTCCCGCAACCCGATAGCAGACAGGGGCCGGAACCAGAGCCACCCCTGGGATCCCTATCATATCAACTCCATTGAGCTAGTGGATGATGGGTATCTGGTGTCGTTCCGTCATCTTTTCTCAGTCCTCTATTTGAACCGTGATGGAAGCATCAAGTGGCGGCTCAGTGTAGGTTCTCTCTCTACCTCCCTTCCTTCTTCTCTTCATAAAAATATCTATCGTGGAATAATGCAAATTAACCAACAACCAGGGTGATGATGGTACTGATTTCGATCTTGGACCTGGCTGTAACTTCTCTTGGCAACACCATGCGCGGGCGCATGATGTGAGCTCCAGCGGGATGACTCTGTCACTCTTTAACAACGACAACGCCAATGTCCACCATCAAGTATCGCCCACAACAGGTCTGGTGCTACAAGTGGACACCAGTGATATGACAGTGAGGAATTTACGGACCCTCGCAGACGAAAGCAGCCCTATCTATTCGGTCAGTCAAGGCAACACACAGTTGCTGGGAAACACCACAACGGGCCATGTGTTCATGGACTATGGCGCCATTGGCGTAGTGCGAGAGTACGACTCAGCAGGCAACACCATCATGTCAGCCCAGTTCGGACCATACAACAGCGTCGCCTCATACCGCGGCTTCAAATATGACTGGCACGCGACCCCATTCTGGGACCCAGCCGTTGCTGTCCAGCGTTCGCCTTCAGGTGATATCAACATATTCATGAGCTGGAACGGAGCAACCGATTATGACAGCTGGGCCATCTACGGCGGGCCATCGGAGGCTCTAGCGAACGCGACGATGCTGAAGACTGTGGCGCGCACGGGCTTTGAGACGAATGTGACGCTTCCTGCTGCAGTGAATGTCAGCTATGTCCAGGCGGTGGCGCGACAGGCAGGCAGTAACCTTCGAGCTTCGACCGTGATAGCGTTGTAGGTGACTCAGTCAGTTGTAGGGAAAGGGTGCAAGGTTAACTACCATCTGGAGATTTCTCTGTGATCTGTAAAGTAATGTGTTTTTCGGGTCAAGGTCTTCGCTGTTTATTGTTTATCTAGATTAAAGAATAATTATATTATGCTGGATCTGTTAGTTGACATATATTCTAGAAATGGTAATATGATCACGAACATGCACACGCATTTGGGCCAGTTACTCGCTCTCTATTAGCAGCGATAGAATCGTAGATAAACTGGACAAGGTATCTATACTAAATACATGCCGAACACGCTTATCTGATGAAAACATACAACCAAAAAAAAATCTAAACGAGGTATAACATAACATCACACTATCATCTCTATATGTATGTACATCACGTAATCGTAACATCGTATCGTCTAAAAACTGAACAGCCCACTGCGCCGCTTGCCCAATGGGTAGATGACCACTGCTGCCAGGAACAACCCCACGGTAATCCCGATAGCGACCTGGATCATGCCGTACCCCATGTCGTACACGGAGCTGGCGCTGCTGGTGGCGCTCGTCGTCGCCGCCAGGCCCGTCTCGTTGTAGTTGCCTGTCAGATTGCTGCGGATTTCTGCCGCGGATTGCACGCCCGACACCAGCGAGCCTGCTGACGCCAGGCCCGAGGGCACCAGCACGAAGATGGCTGGTAGGATGGCGGATGCGGCGTGGCCGTGCCACAGCCGGCTGTACAGGTTGCCTAGTACCCCGACGGTGAACGCGCCGAGCGTGTTGGCCAGCTCCGGGTTCGAGTTCAGCTTCTGGTTGCTGAAGTAGTTGACGACGTAGCCCGCGACGGCGATGAGCATCATTACCGGCATCTGCTTCCATTTCCCTTGGTTGATGACCACTAGGAACAGCACGTATGCCGCCACGAACGGGAACCGCTGCACGTACTGGCTGTTGCCGATCAGAGGGCCTGAGCAGGACGTGTACGAGTTCGCTTTGGCGTCCATCAGCCCGTAGATGGTCGTGCCGACTGTGATACCGTAGCCCAGGAACAGCGAGTAGATGATGGCGTAGACCATCCGGATCGAGCCTGCAATGATCTGGTGCGACTGTAGCTCCAGACTGCTGCTGAGCACGAGGAATCCCGGCAGGATCAGCGCGATGGATGACTGCGCCATTGAGGAGAAGCAGAACAGGTACTGCTGCTGGCCATTCACGACGCCGTTGCGGATGCTCCCGAACGCCCGCGCCAGGAACGATGTCACGATCGAGGCTACTACTTGGAAGACATTGGAGTACAGGCTCGACCGCGGCGCAAACACCAGCTGCATCATTCCCAGCAGACAGCCCAGGAAGAAACTGATGGGCATGTCTATTGGCCGCGCCTCGAACGCAAACGGCCCCACCGTGGCACTCGCCAGCCCGTAGCAGAGGATCACCAGCCAGACCGGGTACTTTGGCGGTCGTTTCATCACCTCTTCCAGCTGCTGGATGGCCTCTTCGACCCCGATGACGTCGTGAATCACATTCTTATAGATGTCCTGCGTATCATCCAGTCGCGCGAGATCGACCCCTTGCGCCATCCGGACGAGTTTCACCTCGGTGGTACGGGTTGAGGGGTCGTCGAACGAGATGATCATGAATCCCGGCAAGTAGAGGAATTGAGCGTTCACGTCGAGGACCCGCGCCGTCATCGTCATGTACTCCTCCAGTCGGTGGCTCGGAGCCCCGAACTTCATGAGTGCACGGCAGAGCTGGATCAAATACCGCTGACGGGTGATGATGGCGGCAATGTGGACCGTGATGCGGATCTCGTCTTCCAGGCGACCTGCGCTCCGGCGCTTCGCAGCAACGGCAGGCTTCACCTCGCTCATGTGATGGGGAGTGCCGGCCGCACCCAGATTCAAGCCCGCGCCGACCAGAGACAAGGTCGACTGGCTGGCCTGAGGCTTGTGGTACCACTTCACCTTCTTGGGCGTTGCGGTGCCCGGGGTGCCTGTACCTGGGGTAGCTGTGCCCGGGGATGTGGTGCCAGGACTGCTCGCTTCGGGGGTCGCACGGCCGCTTTGACGCCCGTCATCCGTCGCTTGTCGACCCTGCAATTTGAGCAATTGCGACAGGATGCCCTCACCGCCGTGCGATTCGGGTTCGGTATCGGACATGCCCTGTTCCTCCGGCGTGGGACTGACGGGCGCTGTCGGTCGCGTCTTTCGCCGGCGGAAATGGTGCTGAGAGAAGCCGCGGACCAGGCGATGCGCTTCGGATGTCGGGTTACGGTGAGGTGACTTTTCGTCTGAATGCTCCTCCAGAGGAGAATACCCATCGTCGCCCCAGATGCCAGCCGGAGTTAGACCATCGCCGGGGTCTTCGGGGCGTCCCAGTCGGGTCATGAATTGGCGAGCCTTGTCCCGCAAGGACATTACCCGGGTTGGCACGCGTGATTGTTCGTCTTCATTTTCCGTGTCCAAGCCGGACCGCGCGGTCTCTGCTTTCTCCAGGTCGGGCGTGTCGTCTGGCACCAATGGCTGTTGCGAGGAGTGCGATCTGTGTCCGTCGAACGACTGGAACCTGACTCGCGTCTCTCTCACTCGGTCGTCTGGCTGCTCTTCATCGTGGTGATTGAAGGACTCGGTCGAGTTGCGTGCGGAGATGTCACCGTCCTCGACACTATGCGGGGTGGCTGGACGAGAGGGAGTTTCCACCGTCATGGTCGTTCGAGATTCACAGCATGGTCGACAGATCTGAAATCGGAAGGATGGTGAGGAATGACTCTCACAACCGTCAAGGGACGACTCGAGGAGGACGGGATGGGTTATCAAGCAGACAAGACGCTGGCCTGGGAAGATCTAGATTCTCAAAGGCATTGACGAGTGGCATTGGCAAATTCTATCACGGACCGACCCCGGCCAGCAGAGCCAGAGAAGGCCTTGCCGGTCCCGCCGGGCCCGGTCTCGATCATTCGGGAATCCACCAGCATCAACGGCGATCGCCGCGACAAGCTTCTTAGCGCGCAGCAGACGCAAGACATACCGTGGTCGTGGACCGGTGGCTCCGCGCATGATTCGCCATCGCGAGCGTCCATGGCCGATATATCCTCCCGCTGAGCCAACTATGAACGCAATTAGCCATTTCGGGTCCACCGTGACCGGAATAGGATCGTCTGCAGGCTGGACTACTGCACGTCAGTTGCAACGATAAAAATATTAATAGCCTGGTCGTGCGCACGGGTCAGGACGTAGATTCGCCACCAGGTCCACCACGGCGAGTCTTGAGGTCAGCGTGCGGGTTTCCCCGTACGGTCTGCCGTGCCAATAATAGCACCGTAGCACTCTGTGACAGCACCGCCATACGGATCGAGTGAATTATGCAGCATTGGCGTGAATTGGAGAGATGATGCTGAAAAAATAGAAAAAAGAAGGTTGGGCCGTTCCTGTATGTGGGGAGTCGTCAGAGTCTGCAGAAGGTGACTTCAACTGTGCAACTCGACGACAGCTCGTGCAGCACCCGAAGACGGTCAGGTGCCTTGTTACACGTGACCTCACGTGGTGAAGTGTTCTGATTACAGATACTGATTATGTAAGACATTCATGACTTCCTTTTTAGGACTAGGCCAGGCTTCGCGTACAGACCACTTCTAGGTAGGCTTCTAATTCGTAGCGAGACAAAATTCCAACAATGAAGACATCTGGCAGCGTTCTGCTGTGTTGTTTTCATTCTCAGCTTAGGTGTCGTCAATAGCGACCAACTCGATTCTTTGCTTTTTTGTGAGTTATGAGAAGAGGAAGTGAGAAAGACGTCGCATATTCTATTGTTGAATGATGCTGGCATTTATATTTATTCAGCGGTAGCCGCTGATATTATTAATCGAGGAACAATACTAGCAACAAAAGTTCAGTCACTGCCAATGCCTCAATCCTTCATGATCATAATTCATGCCATTCGAATCTCTACAGACATAGATTAATGCAGCCCGACTAACGACAGTCTGAGCTGACGTGGAAAGAATTGCTACAAGAATTAGTCCAGACGTCTTGTCCAGAGCGGATCAATCAATGTTTCTGCTTTTGATCCTGATTTATTAGAGGGTTTGTTCCCACAGTGTCCAGCAGCTTGGTTATGTTGCCAAGTCATGAGGAAGAAGAGCCCTAGCCCTGAATCCGGCAACGACCAGTCCTGTATGCAGCTAAAGTGGACGTATTGCAGAGTAACACTTTGTCCTCCGTCTGTACGGATTCTCTGGATCTACAGAATAACTTGATCTGGCTCATGAGTTCCCCAGAGTGCACCATGGCGGAAGACATCGGCATCCTGAGAGAGTCACATTGGTTGGATATTCTCCAAGAAGGCGACCGTTTCTCCTTTCCTTTATCGCAAACAGAGTGGTCACTGGGCCCAATTCTCACAGAGAAAGTCCTTCACGGCGATCGGGTTGGTTCTTTGGAAGTATCCGAGGCATCTGGAGTCTGCATTGCCACCCAGACAAAAGGTCCATCAGAGGGCATGAAAGCGATCCTGAAAATACGAATGCAGTGAGTTACGCGATCCCATCTGCTCTGCAGAGACTCACGTTTATGCTGTAGGATTCCTCCTTGGCATGACTACCCAGAGGAGTGTGACAAGAACAAAGACTATTACACCAAATTCAAATCCACGAATATGAGTCATTCAGCCGATCATGAAATCAGGATCTTAAAAGGACTCACTGAACATGGCTGCAGCTGCACACCAAAGCTCCTGGACTATTGCATCGTCGACCAGACAGACGATGAATATGTTCCAGGCGGATACATCGTACTGGTTTTGATGGAGAAGTTGCCTGGTCGGAATCTGACCAATTTTCCCATGTTCCCCTTGGAGAAGAGAGACGAGGTACGGATAGCCTTTGGAAAAGCAATACGGTATGATCCTCTTTTCTATAGTGGAGATATATGTTGTCTGCTAAAACTTTCTAGGAAATTCCATACTCTTGGCTATTGGCACGGGAATGCCGACCGACGGAACGTGCTTTGGGATGAAGAGAATCATCGTTGACATGGAAGATGTCATTTACAGGGGACCGAATACGTACAGATTTATCCCGCGAAGGGATTATGGAAGGTGGACGCTAGACCGTCCAAATCTCATTTCCAGTGAGAGTGCCGACCCGATGGTCCCGGATGATTACGATGAGTGTGTCGATGATGAAGCTCTGTATGCCCTGGCTGCTCGCACAAGAAAGGCACAAGAACGTGGGGATATTCCATAGTCGGTGGTTACACGGGTTGTTTCTTTTGTTTTGAGAAGCTGCATAATCAGCCTTGCAAATGTAGGGGTGACACATTTATTGTGGCCTCTCTCTAATGATTCAATAGGCATATTGCCTATAATTACTGTATTCCTGTGTAGTGTGGATGATCATGTCCACTAGTAGCCTCCTCCAAAAAAATAAAGGGGGGAAAGGAGGGGGGACAGACATGGATTAATGCAGCCTGACTGACAACACTCTGAGCTGACGTTGGGAGAATTGCTTCAAGAATTAGTCCAGACGTCTTGTCCAGAGAGAAGCAATCACTGGTTTCGTTTTGATGCTGGATTATTCGAGTGATTGTCGAGTCCTATTTGATGGGCGTCATGATGTCATGATGAAGAAGAGCCCTAGCCCCGAGCCCTAACCCTGAACCTGGCAGCTATCTGGCAGCTCAGCGTACGTGTACTCCGTCTACAGATTCCGGGTCTGGTCCTAGTTTGGACCTCGGCATTACCGAGGAATTTATGTCGATCAGCTAGACCAGACTAGGAAACTGGTTCTGCGTTGCCGGTAGAAAACAGCAAAATCCAAATACAACCTGCGGGGTAGGTATATCGCCGACTTGGCTGGTCCATCCAGGTTATTATTTACCAACGGTTACTTACTCACAAACCAACCAAAACACGCAGATTTACGTCAATTTAGGTACCTAGTAATGCTATTGGATCGATTCGCCGACCAATGCCCGGATACTGCGTACGTATACGCACAGTACATCTACCTAGGTAGGTCCTGTCTACCCCGCAATTAATGGGGTGGATAAACTCAACCTGAAACTCAATTGAGACCCAACAGCCATCATAAAAGTGGGAGCAAACTATAAACAGACCGAAGGACACCCCGCGTGGATGACAATCATTTTTTATTGTGAAATTCAGTGCATGAATGTGTTGACCTAAAGGTTTCCGTTCTCGCGTCCGTATACCTCTTCACTTTTCAAAGGACACAACAACAGCAGCTCTTTCGCGACTGTAAATCATGGAGCACGCTAAGAAGCTCTTCCCCAACGGTCTGCCCACGCTCGAAGAGTTGAAGGCGTTCAACGCCGGCAAGGACGTCCCTCCGGAGACGGCGTGGATTTGGGGCGAGAATGACGAGGTAGATGCCATATGACAGACAGAATTGAGGTTGATATTCGTGATCAATAATACTAATTCAGTCCACCAGCTCGGCCGCATCAACCTCCTCACTCCGGAGGTCACGCAGGCGGCCAAGGAGAGCGAGCTGAAAGACGGGACGGTTGTGTCTTTAAAGTGAGTCAACCTCTTCAAAACACTCTCTCGAGAGATTGAGACACCCAGAGGAATAAGTTCACGGTCATGCTAACAATATTGTTCCAGCTGGACCGTCAAATACCCCGAAAAGCCATCCTTCCACCGCCCCGCCTTCCAGCACAAGATCGCCCAACACCCTCTTAGTCCCTGCATCTTCGACGACTACTACGACATGAACACCCAGTCCGGGAGCCAGTGGGATGGGTTCCGCCATTTCGGGCATCTGGGACTGAACAGGCTGTACAACAACCTCAAGCCGGAGGAGGTTCTCTCCAGCACGCGCTGCGGTATTCAGGCCATCTCGCAGCACGGCATTGCCGGCCGCGGCGTCCTGCTGGACCACTACTCGTGGGCGAAGAAGCAGGGTCGACCCTACGACCCCGTCAGCGGGCACGCCATCCCCGTGTCGGAGCTGCTCGAGGTCGCCAAAGCGCAGAACGTCGAATTCCGGCCGGGCGATATCCTCCTCATCCGCAGTGGCTATGTCTCGCGCTACTACGAGCTGCAGAAGGAGAACCCGGCGAAGCTGGAGGAGCTGTCGCACAACGAATGCTTTGCCGGTGTTGAGCAGAGCGAGGAGATGAAGAAGTTTTTGCATGACAAGTGAGTGCCACCCAGCAGGAATGAGAATCTGCTTGACAGAATGACTGTATATACGCTGACGCGAATCGAACAGTTACTTCGCTGCAGTGGGAGGCGATGCGCCCGCGTTCGAAGCCTGGCCACGCAAGGCAGACTACTTCCTGCATGAATATTTGCTGGCTCTATGGGGATGTCTGATCGGGGAGATGTTCGACCTAGAGGTGATCCATCCAGCTTGTTGTCTACTGCTAATATCAAACAGACTAACTGGTATCACACAGAAACTGTCCGAAGAATGCGAGAAGCGTCAGCGCTGGACATTCTTTTTTACAAGCGCGCCGTTTAACACGCCAGGTAAGCGGACATCATTGACATGAGGAGGTACAAAGCTAACTTTTCCAGGCGGTATCGCGAGTCTGGCGAATGCCCTCGCCATTTTCTAGTCGGGTGCCTAGTGGATAGGTTGGAAATGGACTGTACATAAATCCGGAGCGAGCGAGAAAACTCCTGCTGTAGATATGATGGAGACAATATAACGGCAATGACGAAGTAGTGAATCTGAGGAAATCGTTCTGTTCTGATGTAAATAAATAATACCAACGAACGAATAAGAGAATTAGCTTTATAACCTCCAGCATTAAAGACTGAATCGAGGATGGTGAATATTCTTGGACTCTATTAATACATACGCAGGAAGAGAAGGAGATGTTTATCATCATCATCATCATGCAATATGTTAAAAAACCAACCATATGCCATCTATGAGCGCAACAGTCCACTTGTTATCATTTTAGTTTATTTTTTATTGGGAATAGAGTCCACACGTGATGAATCAGTGGTAGTAACACACAGTGGAGTGAAAATAAATCTTCACACCTCTTTCATGACGAGTTGTTCCTTCCGGAGCATGCCTGCCATAAAAACGATATATCTGTTTGACAGAAGTGATAGAAAAGGAGTTGAAAGAAATGAAGACACGCCAGGTAGTTGCCACTTTATGGCTGGCTCCGTTGCTCCATTTTGTGGTTGATTCATGCTGGAATGAGTCAGATATCCTGTCATCAAACGCAGCGATCAGGAACATAAATTCTCTGGGACGTCTGCGAGGTTGAGGACTCGATTCAACATTCTGATCATTCCTCGTTGAGTTTGGATATCCCGTCGCTCACAACCAAGTCAACAATAGTCACGTTGACAATGTCACTTGCAACTAGCAGGTTCCTGAGGGGAGTGATGAAGAACTATAAGGAGCCCTCTGCGCCAGAACCTGCCATCTTTCAGCGCTGTGTGGTGGTTGATTACGACAGCTTCACTTCGTATAAGTTTCATGAAATCGACTGGAATGAGTGCGCTTTTCTGCAGACTCCTATCCTCTGGGGGGCTCCGCCATGGTGATTGTCTCTGAATATGCTGCCCTGCTCGTGGCATTCCGACGCGAGGAGACCAAGGATAAGGTCCGCGAGAAGGCGCAGCACGTTGTGCACAATTGCTTGAATGGTTTCGAGGACCGGTTTTTTGCCCCGTTCTGTCGAATATATGTGTTCCTAGGCGTGGAGGACAGAAGACAGTACGGGGTCCCACGCCATGACCTCACCAGTCAGATCGCTCACGAGCACTTCACCCAGCCAGACCACGCCGAGGTCTTCATGTCCGAGAGGTTGTCGTGGGATATATCCACAGAGGTATATTTCCATCCATATCGGTCCCGTCTGGCGATCTCCAGGCCTACATCAAGTTCCGGTCCATCTTCGACCAGCCCTTTCGCGTCTGGAGCTGGCCTGAAGTGTCGGTCGTCGCAAAACATCGCAATAGGAATGGTGAGTTATGGGTAACTGATTACACTGCCGGTCGATTGCGTTTGATCCGAATGTTCCGATACCGGATGATCTTGATCTTGGTGACTGGAGCGAGGAGAGTCAGTGGACAGATCCAGTTCTGCCCTCACACCACCAGAGTCAGTGAGTGCTTTCGAATTCCTAGATTATTGCCATGGATTTGAGGAGATCTCTGAAGGATGTATTGTGCCTAGTTGAGATCTTCTAGTCACAATATACCCACTGGTTTGTGGAATGATTAGGTGCAGAAGAGTTCCGTTAAGACCTGCATAATCTGCAGCAGCAAATTATAGTATGCTTACAACCAGACGTTAAAGCGTCTTGTTTTGAGTAAAAAAATTCTTCATGTAATGAAAGCATGCAGGAAATGGCCGATATCTTCACTGAGCCACAGTTTCTTGGTCAGGTTTCGCTCGTATCAGGTTATACCAGATCTTTCATTCGTTTGGCAGAGGAGTGACGAGCTCTAGTCACCTCACGCAACTCAGCAGTCAGCTTTCATTCACCGTGGCAACGTTTACCAAGTTTCACTCACCTGTCATCTGATATTCTCTGCATCTTTCTCATGCCAAAATACTGAGAACCAACAACGGCATTCTGATATTATTTACCTTCCGTCTCATCTTTCCTTCTCATCTCACCACCTCATCTGTAAAAGCCCCATCAGCTATCATGTCACAAGAAGCAAAAACACCTCAGCAAGAAACAAAAGAAGAAGTAATCCGCAAAAACCTCCCTGCGATGCTTCAGACAGTGATGAAGAACAGCAAGCCGCCTGAAAAACCAGCAGAACTCAACTCCAATCGTCGAAGCCTAGTCGTGCCTTCCAGCGAGATCAAGCTGTACAAATACGACAAGATCGACTGGGACGAATACGCCTTTGCCCAGACAGACGTCCTCCGGGGCAACTCCATTATCCTGGTCGTGTCCGAGCATGCCTTTCTGTTCGCGCAGTTCGCCATCGATGAGACCACGAAGCAAGTGTGCGAGAAGCTGTTGACCATCCGTGACAGATACATGACGGGCGTCGACAACTGCATGACGACGTTCGACAACTGGTTCTTCGCCCCTTTCGTCCGCATCTACGTCTTTCTGGCCGTGGCTGACGCAAGGCCGTCGGGCGTCCCGCCAACTGAGGACCATACCAGCATCGAGAACAAGCATTTCATCCAGCCAGACCATGCGGCGATGCTAACGAGCGAGGTGGACAGATGGAAAGCGTCGCGAGCCTTCTTGCCCTACATCCTCCCGGCGGACGATCCTCAAGCTCAAGCGTACATCAGACTCTGTCCAGTCAAGGACCACCCCGAACGGATCTGGCAGTGGCCTGAAGTGACTGTCGTTTCCAGCAACCCTGATAAGGATGGCGCACTCTGGGTGACCGATTACTCTGCCGATGGGAAAGAGTATCCGCCGAATCTTAAGTTACCGTATATTGACTTCATTCCCGGAGAAGAACATGGACGTCTTTCAAAATAATACGTTGCCTGGGTGTCTTTTCATCTGGGAGGGGAACCTGATAGAGAGTCATTGCTAATGGAATTGAATGTGATGGCAAGTCAAGACAAAAAATGTTGCTAAACATGCATTGTATAGTACATACAGTGCGTATCCAATCAAGATCATGAGGCGTTAAACTGAAAAAAAAAAGGCCACTTTATAAGATGAGCACATTGATTAGCTAGTAATACGTTGACACAGACTCAAGAATCAGTATGCTTTTCGTATTATTATCTGCGTCTATATTTTTCACATATCGCTATGGCAGCAATGTGTAATTGCCTATCTAACTTTGTGTACAGATGTGTAAACCACGGTAGTACAGATTGCTTTCATGTCTATTAATCAGGTGCCTGTTATGTGATCTAGTTCATCACTGCAAGCATGTCTTGCTTTGTTTTCTATCTTGCATCATTATCTGCATTTATTTGCATTAGAAGCTCTTTTAGCACATTTTGTTATCACCTGTCCAACTTACTACCTTTTCCTTCAATTCTTCCTTATTCCAGGAGTGTTGTTATACATTTAACCTAATGCCTCAAAAAAAGAAATAGTGGCCAGTGCATACAACTCGGCGTCGCTAACAGATTTCACCCATCACAAGATATAATGATCTAATACCTAGGCAAGGCTCCAGGCAACCACAATAGAAGACATTCACTGCTGGTTTCAAGCAAGCACACAATCCCATCCCAGAAGATACATTGAAGTTTATTTGCTAAGTCAGCACATCTCTAGTTATAGTTAGTTATAATCATGTCTTGTAGTCATCACGTCTTTGCTGGACTGGACATAAGGACCTGCAGCAAAGTCTGTCGCGAGATTCCTGCAGCAATTTCATCTTGTACCCACGGTACAGAAGGACTTTTAGAACCAACTAATTACGCCAACTTTGTCTGGGACAACAATAAATGGAAGTTTATCCCCTACTCCAAGGCAGGCTTCATATTTTTTGATAATGACGATCTAGACACTTGGGTCATGGGAAACAAATGAATCAATTATGATTCGCTAATATACCAGGGGCTAAAAATAGCTGTCTCACTTTCCTGCATTACAAGAGAGTCACTCTTTTCTTCTCTGCGGCCCTTTTTGCTCAAAGACTTTTCATCCACAGCAATGTCCATTGAAGAAGGCTATGTTCCCAAATTGTTAGACAGCAAGTCGCCTCAACAAGAGCTTGAGTCTACAATCAACAAGAGCAAGGAGAGCAACGAAAACCCTCAGCCTGGGGAGGAAATCAACAAGGATACACCCGGCCGAGTTACGCTGCGTTCTGATACCAATGCCAATTTGTCGAAAGACAAACTGCTCAATCAGATATGCGATGAATTAGACAATGCGACAGAAGAGCGTGTCCTAGTCTTTCAGACTGTCGACACTGAAACAGCTCATAGTACTGCTACAGAGCTTGATCGTCTTGCAGAGGGCAAAGGATACAGGTAATTCTGACCTAAGCCATAAGAATCTCAGCTAATGGTTATCCAAAATGTTAGGCTTTCTTACAATTCGCTTCTTAAGACTCTCAAAATAATTCTCATGCCAAATCTCATTCATGGCTGTCATCAACCTTGGCTGATTAGCAACATGGCTATAATAACGTCTACCGGGATTTTAATGCTCCAAGAACACCAGAGTCTTCGCATTTTAAGTGGCACCATGAGTGACTCTTTGAGTATTAATTCTGGCCCTTCTTTCTAATTCTAACTCAAATCTACTAGCATTTGAAACCTTTGGCCCACCTTATACCTCGTCACGTCAAGAGCCTGATCAATGTGTCACACCACAAGGAATGAACTGCCCAACAGTAGTCATTGAATCTGGCTGGAGCGAGGGTCGGTCGCAACTGCATCACGATCGAGATTTGTGGCTTAGTGGTGGCCGGGGCTATGTCAGTCATTGTGATCAAATGGAGTGAAAATCCGGCGAAGCAAGTCAAGAGCGACATTGAGGTCTTTGAACTAGACCCTCTTGGAGATGTGCGGTCCATACAACAAGAGGTAAGCTACAAATTCAGCACTCCTAGTACTAGATTTTTTTTGCAGGTAGCTAACATCATTATTAACATAGATTATTTTCCCAACTCCAGCTGCAAACATTGCCAACGCCCAGAGGATCGCAATCTCAAGACGTCAGCTCTTTGGTCCCAATCTTCCCGCTGGTCAAGGCCCGGCTCAACTCACTTATCTCAGTATCAATGATCTTCGTGTCATTGCTGATGAGTACTTGAGGTTTGAGGGTTACTCTCCAGCCCCATGAACTCCAAGTACACACTCACAGCTCTCGTTAATAAAAGGAAAAAGGATTGTCAGTGGGTAGTGCTGGTCAGGATAGATCATTCTCTACTGGGTCACTACCACAAAAAAGGAAAGAAAGAAAGAAAGAAAGAAATTGAATTACTCCCTTCAGCTCTTGGTAACTCTATGTTGCTCCTGCCTTGCTTTTTTTTACTCCCTTTTGCTCCCTTAGCACTCGCGCGGGCTTCCGTCATGTGACAGAATAAAGCGGCGATGCACCTGTCCCAGGACAGAAATGGCATTTGGTGCAATGCATTTCAGTGACAAGTATATCGGTAGTTGGCTGTTTACTACGAAGATCGATGAGAGAGCTTCTACCTCCATAATCAAGTCAGGTCTGTAGCTAGCTGCGCCTCCCCACATTTCCCCGCGTTTGCCCGGTCTTCGGTTTCTTGAATGTTTCCTTTTAGTTATTCGGCGTCTTAGCCAACCTCTCAAACTCAGCTAATCGACACTGTTTCGGCGAACTGCATACACTGCTGCGTCTCTGACCAATAGGGTGCTGCGTACTGTATAGTCTGGTCTACCTAGGTACAGATACACCAATGCGGACCTCTCCATCGGCAATCTGATCCTCGGTCCTAGGTAGGACAGAGATCAGTGCATACAGTAGGTACCAAGTTGCAGTTAAAAAAAGTCGGTAAATAATGGCTCAAAGTGCCCTTTCATATCAAGCAGAGTCTATTCCATGCTAGTTCCACAGCAACTCTTTTTTTTCTTTGCTTGAGTCAAGATGCAAACTGGGACTTCATGGTCTGAAATAAATTCCAGTGATCAAAATGAGCCGTTTGGAAAGGCATCTTGTCTAAAACTGACAATGTTGACATGGCAGAGCGTCACAGATGTGCTAATAGTGGTGGAGCAGCAGGAAGGAGGCTGAAATGGAAGCTCAGGGCGAGCTGACAGGACCTGATAGCGGGGGAGCAAGCAGCGGGGGCTTAGTCAGAAAGAGATGGATTATCGTGTGACAGTATATACCTAGGTAGATGATTGATATTGAATCCCGTCTAGTTGTGAAACTAGGTTGAACGGAGAGATATATATAAGTCCGAGGTAGCTATATATCGCAGACACACAGACTCTCCTCAGCTATCCTCATGACCAACTCTCTTCTCGTCGTCTAATCTCAGCCTCTCGCTGATTATATCCAGACTACACAGATCAAATTGACAGACAACCCAAATATCACGCCTACAAGCACAGAAGAATCATCATGTCGCAGTATCTAACCTCCCTCTTCTCCCTCGCCGGGAAAACGGCCATCGTCACTGGCGGTACCGGCGGCCTGGGCCTGGAGATGACGCTCGCTCTGGCCGAGGCTGGCGCTGACATCGTCTCAATCGAGCTGCCCAACGACCCCCGGTCTGGCCTCCTGGCTGAAGGCGTCCAGAAGACCGGCCGGTCTCTGCGCGTGTTCCACGCCGACGTGGCCGACAGCAAGGCGCTGCGCGAGACGTTTGCGCAGATCTGGGAGGCTGGCGTCACGCCGGACATTCTGCTCAACTGCGCGGGGATCAATCGGCGGGGGAAGGTGGAGGATTTTTCGGACGAGGATATTGATGCGGTAGGCCAACAAGGACTCCTCCCTGAGACTATATAAACATGTTTTGTCTGATTATGACCAGGTCTTCGCCATCAACCTCAAAGCCAGCTTCGTCGCCGCTCAGGAAGTCGGTCGCCGGCTGCTGCAGCTCAACCGCCCCGGGAAGATCATCAACGTGGCGAGCATCATCTCGTTCATTGCCAACATCAACATCAGTCCCTATGCGGCGACGAAGGGTGGCGTGCTGCAGATGACCAAGGCGATGAGCAACGAGTGGGCCAGCAAGGGGATCCAGGTTAATTGTATCTGTCCGGGGTAAGCAGTGGCTCTTACTTACACTTGTATTGTAAATTTAGGATAGAGTGATTGATGTCGTCTCAGATACGTTAAAACTCCCCTGACAGAGGTGTACACGCGGGACAAGGCATACAACGACTACATCATTGGACGCACTCCGGCTGGGCGATGGGGTCTGCCGGAGGATTTCCGCGGTGCGATCATCTTCCTGGCCAGCGAGGCAAGCAATTTCGTCACCGGGACGAGTCTGGTTGTGGACGGTGGTATGATTGCAAAATAGTTCATTGAAGTACTCCTTTGTGTCGAAGTGAAGGAAGTCTGTGGAGTATATAAATGATCAGAGCATGACAGTATGTATATCTTAGGATTGTGGTGTAGGAATGCAGTAATTGTTACTACGTAGGATGTCAGACGCTGATCCTGTATATGGATGAGTAGCTTAAGTGACGATAATACAAACGCTATGAAACGGAGCAAGTACTATTTCTTGAGTGTAGTCCCTTTGGTAATTTGAATTTCGCGCGTTTACTTTCTCGTCTCTTTGTTCCCAGCGCTATATAGATAAAAGTTGCAACATAGCTCATGTGAGAAAAAATATGTATAATGAAACTAGCTGCGAGTAGTTGTAGCTGATGATCGTTGTATGTAGCAGTCGTCGAGTTGACGATAATTTTTTTTTTTGGAGAGAGAAGGAGGGAGAGAGAGAGAAGGGAAGAAGAGAGACTGAAAAACGACTGTCCACGTATTGATATCAAACTGTTTGTTTCCACTTCTCAGGGTTGTACATTCTTCGATTCAACTTTTCGTCAGAACAAAATGCCTCCATCCGTCCATCGGTAACAATTGATTGCGCACATGTTTACTTGTCAATCGTGCAGTTGAGTGGCTCCGTGTGATTTTATCCGCTATCGCGAGATGCCTCCTTCTCTTGCTCGACGCAATTCTCGTCCGAAATCTGTCGATCCAGCACCGCACGCTCTTCCTCCGTCAGGTCGGTCAGATGAATGACGACCTCGTCACCAAACTTGGCTCCAATCTCCTCCAGACTGAGGCCCTTGCCTGAACCTCGATTGGAGTAAGGGTCCTGAAACCAGCCTGCTTATCTGGAGCGGAAGCTGTGAGTGTGTTATCTCCCATATTATATATATATCTATTCACCAGCCAGCGTGGGGCAGTATGCAATTCAGATTGCTGCTGCGCATGGCTTCAACGTCGTGACGACTTGCAGTCTACGACACGCGGCACTCCTCCGCTCGTACGGTGCGCGGCACCTATTTGATTATCACAATGAAAAGGTTGTCGAGAAGATCAGGGACGCCGTGCCCGAGCTCCACTACGCATTCGACACTATTGGGGACTCGACCTCGTCCGGCGTCGCATCCCAGGCGTTTGGTGAAGGGAAGAGCTACCTCTGCACCGTGCGGCCTGGCAAAGCGAACACGGAGAACGTGACGCCGCAGACCGAAGTGACGGACGTGCTTGTGTGGACGGCGTTCATGAAGGACCATCGATACGGAAAGTTTTACTGGCCGGTGAGTATATGTATATATACATAAATAGGCGGGGCCGGCGCATGGAAGACTTGTCCGCTGACGTCCACTACTTGACAGCCTTCCAAGGACGACCACGAACTGGCCAGCGAGTTCTTCGAGAAGCTGCCGTCTTGGCTGGAGGATGGGAGGATCCGATCCAACACGCCGAAGGTCCTGCCTGGTGGACTGGACGCGGTTCCGCGAGGCTTTCAGGAACACCGTGGCGGGAAGATATCTGGCTACAAGATTGTCTACAAGCTTTGACGTGCTGATATGACAAGTGAGGTGATGCGGCTTGCAGTGACATTGACAATTGCTTCTAGTATTACGGCGACAGAAGACGTCGCGGAGAGAATGAAGAAACTTCGTAGATGAGTTTGTCGCACAAATACTTGTGGAAATTTTGTTTGGAGGTTCTCGTTCGAAAACTTATGTAGCTTTGAAACCGTCGCACATCTCTGTTCTTGCTTCTGAATTATTCTTCTCCTTTCTTTCCCTTGCGGTTTTGTTGTTGACTGTCTCTTGGCAGCTACATAATCCATACGCCCTGTCTCTAATCTAAGGTGATATACTATATATATACCGCATATGGAAATTGAGCTGGAAGTCCCATATAGGCCATATAGCCCATAATATGCCTCTCTCCTTATAACAGTATCCATTTGGGCTAATATATCCTAAATAGGACTAGCAGTTAGGGCAACTTCTTAGGGCTGGCCTGCTATATTGCCTACTTCCCTCGACTCTCTCTCTCCTCTTAATTACATACTAATTTCAAAGCGCTTTGCAAGGTCGTAGGGCCATTTATGCCCTACGAGGTATTTTGGATATTGATAATTCTCGGCGTCCGAAGCAGGAGGACTCGGTTTGAAGTTTAGAGACTGACTGACGGTTGACAAAGAGGAAAGAGCAAAGATGCAGTGATGATGACAGAAGAGAGTGGCGCAGTGAGAGAGATGTAATGTATTTTGTATTGGATGCAAAAGAAAAGCAAATCGTAAGCGTCATAATGATACATATGTTTACCTGCTCTAGTTTTTTTATTGTATCAAACTTGATGAAAGCAATCTCGGACCAGACAAAGAGTAGTCGCTCTTCTCCTGGTCAAAAAGAAACAAAAATAAATAAAAAAATAAAAAATAAAAAAATAAAAAAATAAAAAAAGAATTCTCCACTTTGACATGTCTTCTCTGTCCCTCGCCGTGGAAAATGCGAGCGTCCATGCCAGCCGCGTTGAATTTTTCCACTCATCCTTATCCCGGGCTCGACGCCACTCCTTCCAGTCAACAATGTATCTGGTTGTGAAATGGAAGAAGTCATTGAGAAGCCATAGAACAAGAGCAATAATTTGCCACCAACTTACACTTTTTTCTCATCTTTGTGCCAAAGAAGATTGACACCTTGCCAGCTTAAATTGATCGGTCCGCAGCGGAAACAGTGTCTAGAAGCATACATGTATATTAGCAGTTATAATAGAAAAATGAAGATTCCAATTTCAATTCCAGAATTCAATCCCCAAGAATGAACATGGGGGATAACATCACATACTCATAGGCAGCTTTAAAAGCCTTTCAAATATCTTGGCGCTCTTCTTTCGGCAAGCGCCAGTAGATGTCGTGAAGAGGGTCCCCGGGCAGATACTTCATCAAGATGTAGAGGATATGGCCTCCTGGTACCAACGTCTCCTGACTCTGTCTCTCTTGTTTGTGGTTCAACAAGGTTGAAGCGGAGGGGCATTCTTTCTCTGTCAGTTTCTGAAGGGCCTCGAGCTCGAGCCGGGAATAATCTCCGAGATTGGTCGTAGCTTGCGCTTCTCTTCGTGCACGAGAACTGAATTCACTGCCTTCATATGCGATCCTAGCAATTACAATTTTTGTAATCAGCTGGATATTCCCAAGAAAGAAAGGAACCATTTGATGGAAATACGTATGCATGCCACAAGAAATGGTCCATCCAGTATAGTGAAAAACTGACTGCATCCAGATCTTCATAATTCCGTCCGTCCCGCTCGCTGTGTTCGTGCAGAAGTAGGTTCCCCAAGCCTCGGAAGTCATTCCTGTGCGCGTGTAGTACTCGTCCCACTGGGTGACCTTTTCGTTCAATTTACGCTCCAGTTTCCAGGTGGAAGGACCGCCGGCGCTTGTATTATCGAAGGAAATGGTACGATGTGTACCCATTCTTCGTCGAAAAACGTGGGCTGAGAAGAGGAAGAAGAAGAAGAACTCATCGTTACCTTTTTCCTCAAAGAGAATGTGACTCGAGAAAAGCAAAGAATTAGGCAAGAGGCGACGTTGAAAAAAAAAATCCCAATCCAGGCACGAGTTGCAGCTTACATACTTGTCAGTAGAAATCCGCAGGAAAAAAAAACCTGATAACTCAAGTCGTTGCGTCATTCGCCTCTGTTGCCTACATATACTACATTGGTACAGTACATATGTAATTGGGCTATAATGGCTCACATACTGCCGATGCGGCTGGTGCTTAGAAGAGCAACAATGAGATTTGATGGTGTATCCACCAGTCTACCGGTAAATACATTGCCTTCTTGAAGAAGTTGAACTATTATTTTTTACTTTTAATTGTTATTTTTTCTTGTTATTGTTGCTGTCATCTGGTGAGTCATCCATCGTACCGTGGTTAGCCCTGGGATCTGATAAGGTTCGGTATGTATGTACATACTATATCTAGGTACCGGTGGTACTAGGCTAAATATTGTCATGACAGATATTAGATAAATCTATGTATTCATGTCAAGACGATGGGAGAGAGAAAATGGGAAGAAAGGGATGGACAATTACATATATTTCTTGCCAGATGTAGTAAATTAACACCTTTGATCATAGAGTACTCTAGAACAACCAGTGTTTATTTAAGTCATGCACACATGTTGCAGACAGCCCGAACCGCCAGCCTAACTAAATCACTCCACATGAGTCCTACCAAGTCAACAGAAGTAATTAATGTATATCGCAGCAGTACAGAGAAATGACTTCCGATATGGATCCTCGATGGGATTTATTAAATGGACCAAACTTTCAATATCTGCAAGAGCAGAGCAGAGCAGAGCAATGAATGCTCTGAGATACATCCATGTACAGTACTACTGTACGAAAGGCATGCACGTCCGGAGTATTTATTTATTTAATTATTATTGGCGTCTCCCTCCCCCGCATTTTAAATACCCCGAGCCCCATTCCCCAGATTGGGCCCCTCCGATTCCCCCGCCTGCCAACCTTAATTAATTCATGAAGAAGATCATCCGCCCGAGATGGGTCGGGGTCATCGGCCCCTGTTTTTTTTCTTGGTTTTTCGTGTTGATATAATTTCTCCACGAATGAAGCAGACATCCAGGACTTGACCCACCGGTTGAACCAATGTGACCCCCCTCTTCAGCGGACCTCCCACCTGTTGACGATGATACTTCTGCGGAGGATTTCGTGAAGATATTAATTATAGCTGTTTAATATATAGTTATTATTTAATATATTATTATTATTGTTCAATATATTGTCGTTGCATCGATAAGAATACTACCCGTGATGTATATACGCTACGGGAAATTTCCCTTTACATACATGTATTTTTTAGGTCAAATGCCATGTGACGGTGTTTTTTTTTTTTCTCTGTTGTCAGTGGAGAAAGAAAATCCCGTTTATATATAATGTGAATTGTCCTGTCCTATCCTGCTTTCTCGTAGAGGGCAAAACTATATGTACATCTCTCCGATGGAGATTTCCTCCTCAGACTGGATTGAATTGCACATATCACTTCTTGTCACAAGGACTTGTGGTTTGAATACTAAGATTGAAACAGTTCTACCTGGCCATACTGCTAGCTGGATCTCAACTGAGCCAATTTCCTGAAGGGAAGGGATAAAAAAAGATGCATTTGAGCTCGCTTTCTGCCCTCCTCTCCCTCTCTCTATTCCCTCTCCTGACAGCCGCCCAGCTTTCAGGATCCGTGGGACCATTAACATCCATCTCCCACAAGAAGGGCATCAAAACATGCAACGTGCTGAACTACGGCGCCGTGGCCGACAACTCCACGGACCTGGGACCCCCTCTGACGGCCGCATTCACGGCCTGCGCCTCGGGGGGCCTGGTGTATATCCCGCCCGGCAACTACGCGCTCAACACCTGGGTCACGCTCAGCGGGGGCACGACCTGGGCGCTGCAGCTGGACGGCGTCATCTACCGCACGGGCACAAGCGGCGGCAACATGATCTACATCGAGCATGCCACGGACTTCGAGCTGTTCAGCTCCACGTCCGCCGGCGCGGTCCAGGGCAGCGGCTACCTGTACCATGTGAACGGCGACATCACCGGCCCGCGCATCCTGCGGCTCTACGAGGTCTCGGATTTCTCGGTCCACAACATCGCGCTGACGGACTCGCCGTCCTTCCACTTCAGCATGGACACGTGCTCCAACGGCGAGGTCTACAATATGGCCATCCGCGGCGGCGATGAGGGCGGTCTCGATGGCATCGATGTCTGGGGTACCAATATCTGGATCCACGATGTGAGATACATATCCTCCCTTCTCTGTCGATGCCTGTCTGTTCCCATACTGAGTGGCGACTAGGTGGAAGTGACGAACAAGGACGAGTGTGTCACCGTCAAGGTCGGGACCGCCGTTTCTCCTGGCTCCCTGATGCGACTGACTGGACTGATTGAACGTTCGGTTCTAGTCTCCGGCCTCGAATATTCTCGTCCAGAACATCTACTGCAACCGGAGCGGTGGGTGTGCCATTGGCTCCCTCGGTGCCGGCGTCAACGTCAGCGACATCATGTACACCAACGTCTACACCTGGGCGTCCAACCAGATGATGATGATCAAGAGCAATGGCGGAAGTGGCACACTTTCCAACGTGGTATTTGAAAACTTCATCGGTAAGAATCCCCCCCTCCATGATTCACGACGGGATTGGAGCGTGACGAGAGAGGGGAGGTAACACTGTCTGCCCAGGACATGGAAACGCCTACTCCCTGAACATCGACAGCCACTGGTCCGGCATGACCCCGGTCAGCGGCAACGGCGTGCAGCTGAACAACATCACCTTCACCAACTGGAAGGGCACCGAGGCGAACGGCGCGACTCGGGGCCCCGTCAAGGTGATCTGCCCGGACGCCGTGCCCTGCACGGACATCGTCATCGAGGACTTCGCCATGTGGACGGAGACCGGCAACACGCAGTGGCTTGTCTGCGAGAGCGCGTACGGGTCGGGCTTCTGTCTCGACTCCAGCAGCGACCATACCTCGTATGCGGCCGTGACGCAGTGGCAGACCACGCCTCCCTCGGGCTACTCGGCCCCGACGATGGCCGCCGATCTGACGGCGGGATTTGGCACGACGCAGCCGATTCCCATCCCGACCATCCCGACGTCTTTCTACCCGGGGGTGACTCCGATCAGCAGGTAGTCTCGATTGGGGGGCTGCCACCAGATGGTCGAGTCTCATTTCGGAGCGGAAATCAGTATCACTGGTTCGATGGAAGTGAAGATAGGGCAGTTGATTTGTAGAGACGATTGTTTAGCTAGCAGATCGACGACGTTGAAATGATCCATTCCCTTAGCTGCTAGACAGAGAAGAACACAGGTTAATGGATCATTGCAAGTCTTCTACGTAGACATTATTTCTCAAGAGAACGTGTCCCAAGAAATCAAAAAATATGCATGCTAAATAAATACGAAGATTAGGAAGGCTTCAAGACTTCCTTTGCAGGCTAAGGAATCCCAAATCCCCTTCACATCTTCCGGAGTATCCTTACTTGCATAGTGAAGTAGGTATAATCATGTACATAATTCATTGATCAACAACCTCCAGTCGCACTCGCCCCAACACACACGGGACCGGTGCAGTTAAACCCTTTGGTCCCGATGACATTGCCACAGAGATACTGCGCCGCCGCCGCGCTGGTCCCGTTGGAACTGAGCGTGATGATGTCCGCGTCCGTGATGACGATGTTCCGGCACGGCTTGACGGCACTGCACTGGAGACTGGCCACGACGGCCGTCGAGGACGTCCCCTCGATGTGGTGGAAGGACAGGTCGGAGAGCTCGAACTTGGACGACGTGCAGTTCCCCGCCGTGCCGCTGAAGGTCGTGCATTGGGAGATGGAGATCGGGGGGCCTCGGGTGTGCTGGATGTGCAGATCGGCAAAGGTCATGTCGGACGCGACTAGCGTTGGTTAGATGACATCCAAATAAAAATAATAATGGACCTGAGGATGTAAAGTGAGAACTTACACCCAAATCCACCACCTCCCCCATTCGGTGGATATCCAACCTGCTCTCCCGTCCACGTCTTGAAGTAGACGGCATGCAAGGTGTTGTGATACTGGGTATCCTCGGCCTTCACCCGCTGGACGGTCTCAAACACGTCCTTGTACTGGCCGATGCTGCCGATCGCGATGCCCAGGCCGTTGTAGAACGTGCAGTTGGTGATGGTGATGTCGGTGGAGTTGGCCTTGATGCTGATGCTGTCGTCGCCGTTGTCCACGATCCAGTTGCGGAAGGTGATGTGGGAGCTGTAAATCGTGTCAGCGCCGTCTGTGTTTGCTGATTATAAAAAAAAAGAAAAATGAGGTTAGCAATGCTGCCAGACGTCTGGTCCAGGCTTACTTACAGGATGGGCTGCCGCCTGTGCTGGTGTTGTTCACGTAGATGGAGTCGAAGACGGTGTTGTGAGAGTAAATAATGGACATGGTCCTGTAGATACGTATATATGCTTGTCAATCAAAGAAGTCATCAAAACCAGTTTAACGGTCCCTCCACTCACCACATCTGACTGCGGATGAATCGCAGCCCCTGGAACACCGAGTTCGTCGCGCCCCAGACCGTCAGCGCATGCGGCCGGCGCGGGTAATTCGACCGGCCATGGACGAAGCTATACCACACGTTGCCGTTCCCATTCAGCGTGCCATAGCCATGGCCATCGACGCGGATGTTATCGCCGCCGAGGAGCCAGGCCGTCGACTGATTCTGGTAGCCGACGGGGAGGGAGTGGGAGAGCCAGTATGTGATATTCGTTCCCCACTGGTGGAGGGGATATTGTTAGCGGAATTTTTATTATTGTGCATGGATAATAGCATCATCGGTACCAGCAATGTCCCTCTCAGATCCACCTCGCTGTCCGCGAGGCCCGTCGTATTCATCACGCTGTTGACGTAGTACGTGGTGTTCAGAAAGACGACCGTGCCGCCATATCCGCACTGCTCGAAGGCCTGGATGATCGCCGGAGCGTCGTCGATCGCTTCGGATCCTCCGGGCTGCACGGTACACACTCTTCTTGTGGCCTTGCTGTTGGAGACATCGTCGTCGGGCTTGGCCGTTGCAAGGGCCGCGTTCGCAGAAAGGAGGAACACGAACAGAATACCCCAGTAGATCATGCTGGATCCATCAACTCTCTTGATGAACTGTTCGTTGGACGCTATGCTCCGATCTAGGCACGTGAGATATGCGATTTATATATTTTGTCAAGGGCTGCCTCGGTCTATTGTATACCGAGCGCACAGGTTCCTGGTTCGCAAGTCGACGAATGTGGCCGTAAAATATTCCACCACTAACTGTTCGAGGATCCTTTTTTTTTTTGCGGGGAGCTTACTTGGAACGATCTTGATCTTTAAAATAGTCGGTAGGTATCCTCGCGAGTCGTTTGCGTGTACTTTTTTTTGGTTATAAAAAGGCCTCTACGCCCCATACTTTTACTATTTTTACACTACATAATTTATTTAGGTACGATCCCTAATGGGAATCTTGTTACGAATGTTTCAATACTACATAACCTCCTGCAAAACCTGCTTGTGTATATACATCTGTCGGCGGCTACATGCATCTAGTTGAGTTTACTGTAGTCATGGCAGCTCTTTTTGGCCGAATCTGCAACAACATCACAATTACGACAAATAAACAAGTAAGTAAGTAAATATAAAGCTAAGCGAAAATCCTCTAAGCACGAAAAAAAGAAAAAAACAGACCGAGAATAGAAGGCTCCTGACAGCTATCTGGGGAAAAAGAAAAAAAAGAGAAAAGAAAAGAAAAACTCTCCTTTCACGACATAGAAATAAATATACGAATGGAGCTTCTCGACAACCCAGAGAAAAGACCCCCACTAGTGGCGAATACATGTATCGAACTGCTGCAGTCTAGAAAGTAAAAGGGCTGTTAGGACACAGCAGACCATCCTTAGCCTGAGTTCGACGAGGTAGGACACTGCTAGCCAAGAGGTTTCTCAATGCTGAATAATTGAATGCATGAATGAATGAATCAAGCTGGTAGGTAAGCTGTCTCGCCAGTCCCGCTCTTAGTTTTTAATTCAGGATAATAAAATCAGGTAGGGTTATATAATATTGGCTCCTAATACGTATTTAGTTAAGAGAACCCTAACTGCTCTCCTACATATGTATTTAATACTACAGGGGACTGAGAGAGGGATAAATATTATATTTATATATAGACTTATGTAACTCTGATACTTTCTGTAGAGGGGGCTTGAGGATAAACAGCCCACACAAAAGGATCTCTTGGTGGCTTTCCAGAGCATGATGACGTACTCGACTGCCAGGATCCAAATCGTCATTGATGCTCTGGATGAATGTCAACCACGGACCGACTAGATAGGTTATTAACTGTTGCTCATCTGTAGCATTCGTGATTGCTTCATCTAAAAGAATCCTCCTGTCCGGGCTCAAGGAGGTATTATTAGCGTTGTCTACCCCCCAGCCGTAGCTGAGCCCCCTGCTTCTCGCTAGAGTCCCCAGATCGTCCCATCTGCACGCCAATCTTAGTACGTATGTAGCTGATGTGGAGGATGCAGTAGTCCCACTGGAGCTACCCCATTGACTGCCATTGTCCGAGCCATGGGAGAACCCCGTCACACTCAATTTCTAGACTAGAACCAGAGAGATGTTCAATGCCGCAATAATTCCATCGGATGTTCTAATTACCAGGCTGAGGCTGCACTGTGCCTCGTCCTTTTCGACCCCTAAATCCACACCAGACAGCAGAGCAGCAAGCAGCCTTCCCAGCCATTTGTCCCGGAGACCGATAGACGCCCCAATCACGCATTACCACCAATCTTGGCCTCAGCTCCCATGCTGCTGCTTGCCGCCATCTACCATTGACTCCCCGAAATCAAAGGTACCCTCTAATCTGGTCTTCGGTCCACTCCCAGAACTTCAGCCCAGCTCCAGTACCGCCCTCTGCCTCCGTCTTCGTTGCGTCGACAAAGTCTTTCGAATCGGCAAGATTCGGCCGAAGGGGGCAACTAAGGATTCAGGAGGAGTTAGTCGATTGTCTCGCACATCATGTCAGTGAGCACTCACCCCAGCTTCCAGACTTGTCAATCGTGACCTTCGGTGATAGACCGGCAAAGAGTTCGGTATATGCACCAAAGACGGGTGGATAGGCAATAAGCTTGACCATCAACCGAAACATGGCCCCTTGTTTTCGGTAGAGCTCCGAGGAAAGATTTCCCGGGTTTAACGGGATGCTGATGACACCGTCGGCCCTGTATCGTTTTGCAAACTCGACACCATGTAGATAATTGCCAGTTTTGCTAATTCCATACTTGTAATGAGGCGACTTATCGATATGATAATCCAAATTATCCAGCAGAACGCCCAGGGATTTGTGGGCGAAGAATTCCGTCGCGGACGAGGAAACCCAGACCACGCGAACTGTATTTGGCGGCTCTGACTTGGCTGTCGTAACGAGGGTTGGGGTTAGTAGTTTTGTGAACATGAAGGTCCCTATGTTGTTGACACCGAGGTGAAGTTCATAGCCTTGAGCAGTCTTGGACACTCCCTGGGACGGCGTCATAACGCCGGCGTTATTGAAGAGGACATGGAGCTTTCTCTCTGAGGAGAGAAAGCTTTCAGCTGATGCCTTAATCGTGGTTAAGTCGCTGAGGTCCAGACGCAAAAAGACCAATGCTCCTGTGGATGCGGGCGTAGACTTTTTGATCTCCTCGATTGCCTTGTTTGCCTTGTCCTCGGAGCGTGCAGCGATGTAGACCTTTGCATTCTTGGAGTAGAGCATCCGAGCCAATTCCTTGCCGACGCCGGTGTTTGAGCCGGTGACGATGTAGACCTGTGATGAAAGCCAATCAGTTATTATCCTGAGCGTGGCAGTCTTTGTGTGGGAGCCTGGGACGACTCGCTTTCCCATGAAGATTTGGCAGGTCTTTCTCCGTGAACTCGGGCTTCGGGGGATACATTTGCGTCCAAACGCTTGAGATCGAGGGCAACATTGTGCTCTGTGGATGATGTGGACTCGAGGAACTCGATCACAAAATCCGTAGATGTAGGGAGGGGCCAAAAAAAGAGGTTAGACGAGATGTAGGTGTCACTGTAGCGAGTAGCGGGCAACAGACGCTGTGTTGAATTGACTGTGGTCACTGCAACGTGAATGTGATGGCTGATTCTTAAGGGAGAAAGTCCCGCTGAGAAACCTGGGGATGTGCTACGCCCTTTATTGCGCATCTACTGCCTACCTGGCAAGGCTTGCGCACAGCATTCGCTTGGTTAATCAGTGGCCCATGCCGTTATCTACAGAATGCTCTTCACATGTTTTTGTAGTTGTTAAGTGCCTTGTTAAGGCCGGCACTACAATGGCAGGCCCCTCAATCATCCCACACTGATAGCTAAAGCAGGTTACAATACCAGGTATTAAAAAGGTAAGGGGGTGTAAAAGTGAATACCATGCGAAAAAAAATATATAATAAGAGAATTGATTGGTGAGCAGTGCCCTTTTTAATTCATAGGCAGTGTGCAGGGGTCAAAACATACCCAACCTGCAGTGTGAGAGGCCTAGCTCCGATATCTCCGTATAAGTCCTTATGTTTGCATTAGTGTAGTACAATGTGGGAATCTCCAATAGCATAGCTGTAGAGATAGTTCAAGTGCTGTTTCTCCTCCTCTCTCTTTTTTTTTTTAAAAAAAAGGTGGTGGTTAGATAATCAAGACAGGTCCGATTTGCCTTCTCCTTAGCTTATGAAGACAATGTTTGGCCTAGAAGTTTATATGTTTATATATATAATAATGGGTACTCCTTATAGCTAAGAGTAGTAATCAACTAAGAGTATATACTAGATTAGTTTAGAGGGTAATATATTGCTATTTTTAAGTTACTAGCTATACCCTTCTTCTTCTTTTTTAGAAGGCCAAAAAAAAAATAAAGAGATTAAGAAAAATAATAATTATTTATTCTTTTTTAATAGTCTGCTGTAAAATAGACTAAATACAATATTATAGAGATAATTTATTTTATATATTATTGATAAACATATAATCATTCAAAGAAAATAGGACATCAAGAGCAGAAAATTGAACAAGTTTATGAGGTGAGTAATGCCATTGCTAGACTAGAATCGAATCCGACACCACAGTCGTAGCTAATTCCATGGAACTATGTACAGTACAAGCGTATCCACCTAATTCAATGACCTCCCCCCATCGACGGGCAGCTCAATCCCCGTAATAAAGCTCGCCTCGTCGCTCGCCAGAAAGGCCGCCGCGTTGGCGACGTCCGCCGGAGTCGCGAACCGACCCAGCGGGATGCCGGAGAGGATGGATTTGCGGTTTTCGGGAGTGTCGGGCTTGCCAAGGACGAGAGGGACCCTGGAAAGAAAGAAATGTGTCAGACTAGAACTGATTGACATGGGCTGTGCTGGAGAACGCACATCGCAGTCTCTCCGGCCACCGGGCAGATGGCGTTGCAGCGGATGTTGTCTTTCGCCAATTCTGCGGCGAGACCTTTGGTAGCCTGTCACCATCATCTTGTCAGTATACAAATGTCTTGAGAAGACTGGGCTTTCTGACGTACCGCGCTGGCAGCGCCCTTGCTGGCTGCATACCAGACCAGATTCGGCCGTGGGCGAGGCGCGCTGATGCTGGAGATATTGACAAAGACGCCGCCCCTGCCCTGCTTGCGGAAGACGGGCACAACCGCTCTGGCGCTGTGATACAGGCTCTTGGTGTTGATGCGGATCAGGCGGTCGAATTCCTCCTCGGCGATTTCGATCGAGGGCTGCGTATCGCCATTATCTTAGCAGCTGTCTTGCGCAACCACCATACAAAATATCTATTCTAGACGTACAGTCGCTTTATTGACAACACCCGCATTGTTGACCACAATATCGATCTGACCAAACTGCGCCAGCGCCGTGTCGACGACCTTCTGCCAGTCCGCTTCGACCGATACGTCGCCTTCAACGAAGACGACGCTCCCCGGGGGCTGAGCCGCGGCCACCCTCTCGCCGTTGGCGACGTTGATGTCGACCATCACAACCTTCGCTCCCTCTTCGACAAACTTCTTCGTGATGCCCTCGCCGAAGCCGAAACCGGCGCCGGTGACGATGGCGACCTTTCCGGACAGTCTGCCCGGCATGTTGCTAGAATGGGAAGTGGTTGATGAGAGAGGAAATATCAATCGAAAGTGTTCAGAGTAATGTTAGTAAGTAACAATTAGTTGTTGTCTCTCAACCAAATGATGCAGTGCATGTGCGATGATGTATAGTGGCCATCAGAGATCTTATCTGCCATGAAGTATTAGATCGAAAAGCTGCCCCAGGCTCAGCATTTGTCTAGCTGAGGGGCTCTTCGGATACCTAGGTACGTACCTAGGTACATGCAGCTTCGTTTGTGTGCGACTAGTGGTGTACGGGTGTCTCGCTCGGTAAGTGGAATATCCTTGTCAGTTCCAAGTCGGCGTCTTACATCGTCCAGGGAGCCGAATCGGGCCACCCCCAAACACCAGCCACGATCCATTAGATTGGGGTACTAGGCAAATAGATGCACAATTGCAATCTGTGCAGGCAAATGAACACTTGTAAGATTCTTCCCGTTCCCGAAGTGACGCCTGAAGCTTATCGTATACTCTCCAGCTTGCCAATGACTCTGGCGGTGTTTCGCCTTGAGACCAAGTAAATTGTATGTATGTGTATGAATTAACTGTTACTACACAAGCTATAAGCTATGCTCCTTCACCTCTAGCTAGCAAATAGCCTCCTACCCTACTCACTGGAACGCCAATACCTCTCATCTCATTCCTATGCTGACAATGCACTTCCACAAAAAAACCTCTAAATACCTCGAGCTGCAAAATAAGCAAAGTATTTAGCTGGCAACCATCAGAACCCCGTCACGTCCGGATCAGCATTCATGCCAAAGCTGCATGGTCCTGGTCCCGGCCCAGCGAGAAATCCCCCCGACGCGCTCTGGAAAAGGAAGTCAAAGTCGAACCCGCCGTCCGGATTGGGTGCCCACAGGGCATCGGACAGCAGCTGGTCGGCTTGCTGCATCAGGTCTATCTGTCTGCTGTTGTTAGTCCGGGCAAAGTCTTGCCCGCCATCACTATTCCCGCTTCGGAGCTGCTGCTGCTGCTGCTGTTGTTGGTGCCCCGGATTGAGGTCGCATCCGTCCAAAGGGTGCAGAGTTGCTGGCACCTTTCCCTGTGGATCATGAAGAGAGGACCCTGACGAAGAGGAAAGTCCGTGCTGGGTTGATATTGCATTGGACAGATCGCGCGGCTGCTGAGAGGAAGAGGACGTGGGATTATTTGCACCACTACCACCACCACTACTTGTGTTGTTCTCGAATCCAAATCCTTGGCCTGTCAGTCTCCGCATAAGATTGATGAACAGCCGCAAGATCCAGCCTCCGACAGGCCAGCACTTAGCCAGCTCGCTGAGCGCGAGCATACACTGCCGGGAGCGATTCTCGGCCAGCTGTCGACGGATGGGATCCTTGCGACGGATGACGATAGCGTGGATAGACAGGGCTGCGAAGAGGGCCGGAACGCTATCGAACAGCACAGTCAGCTCTCTGTCACTGCATCGAGTTGGTGTCTGAATAACGACTTACAGATGCAGCTGGCCATACGTCAGGGTCCCCGCGGCCAAAAGGTCCTCTGCAATCCGGGTTGTCGAGTCTGCTGCCATCCGGGACATGGTATCTCGCTCGATCTCGACCCGCGAGACGAGTTCGACGGACTTGGGGCGGAAGAGCAGGATCTGGCAGTTACTAGAAGCAAGCAAGTCAGCGGGCTGAAAAAAATAAAAATTGCGATTATACGGATTTTCTCACTTGTAGTTGGCATGCAACATGCACGCCCAGAACGGCGCCCCGAGAGACTCATCCACCGGAGCCCGGTGCAACTCGCGCGGAAGCTGAGACTCCCATCGGGAGAGCTCATCTGCCAGCGCCTTGGGATTGTATCCAGTGATCTGGTTACGGCGGGGCGAGAATTCTCCAGTGAGGATCCTGCCAACTGTGTAGATATATCAGATCAGAAGCTGTAATGCAGAACAGAGCAGTGACATGGTCTCTATCGCCAATGGAGAGTGGAGTTATTACGACACTTACGGATAACAGCCAATTTCAACATCTCAATGGCATACGAAATGTGAAAGTCCTGCTGGACGCAAATCAGGCGCACATCATACCCCTCGTCGACCTGAAAATCCTCCGGAGTGAGCAGCTCAATATCACAGTCTTCGTCACGGATCCGGCACGGGCGACCAAGAGCGGCTGCAGCGTGCCTGTCGCGGACCTAACAATCAATCAGAACATCGCAATCATCAATATCGGGTAGTAGAAATTCCTACGTAAATCGACCACCAGATCCGCTTCCACAGAGACCGGTGCCGCTGACTCATGCCAGACTGCGCTGTGCTGTTGTCGATTATTACATCAGATTGGACTAGGAACTCCACCAAGTTTCCATCTGCTCACGACACTTACGACCGGTGCATGCCTAACGTCTGCGCCAGACTGATCGCACAACCCAGCCAATGCCAGGTATCCTTCTGGTCCTCGGGCCCTGCCCACCAGAACCCCAGCAGAAACAACACCGCCGCCAGGTTGTTCCGGTCCTTCTCGTAGTCGACATCGTAGAGCGCCTTGGCACGCAGATAGTGCGTCCGTCGGGCGGTGGCCCGGTCTGGGAATCCGGCTTTGCTGACGAGCTCCTCACGACAGACAGTCAGGGCGAGGAAATAGATCGTCTGCAGCACCAGCATGCTCATCTGGCCCTGCTGATATAGACTGGTGAAGGAGCGGCGATCAAATACCGGATAGGCCGGGTGGATGCAGTCGAAGAACGTGCGCACCAGCTCGTCGCTGACATCCCGCGGAGGCGTCACAAAGGCGTCGTGGAAGGGCAGTGGCTCGCCGTATCCATCGCTCCCTCGCGCGTGGATCGCGCGGTCTGCCACAGACGGCGGCACGGGGTAGTGCACCTTCACGTCGGCCTCGCTGCCAGATGGACTGCAAACGGTCTTAACGATGAAGGCCAGACTGAACGACTCGCCCAGGTAGTAAGATCGTCCCTTGGATTGCATCAACCCCCCGGGGCTGTCCTTTGCGGGTTCTGGCTCTGCCATGCGCGCAAACAGCATCTCCGGGCCCTCTTCCTCTTCTCCTGGCTGCTGCTGTTGCTGCTCGAGGACTGCCTCTTTCCCCTCAACATTGCCATGCTGGGAGGTCGTGGCAATTGCGTCGTCATGGGTTCGTGACAAGTTTGTCGTCGTTGTCGCCGCAGGATCAGAATAAGGAGTTGCTGAGGCAGGCTGCGATTGCTGCTCCTGGACAATGGGCTGCGCTGCAGCAGTGCGTCGGCGCGCAGTTTGGTAGCTGCATGACCAGTTTTCTTCCTGACATACCTGTCGAAGCATCAGCGTGTGGAACAGCAATTGATTCAATTGATCAGTCAATTGACGTCAATAACGTACTTTCCCCGTCGTGACTCGATCAGTTCGCACGGCGTCTGTCGTGTTCTGCAGTGCCAGCAGGGCTGGGATTCTGACACGTCGCACTTCACTCGACGGGCGTGACAGGGCTTGCAGGCGATTCTGGCACGCCGCAAGGGTGCGGCTGGTCGAGGCGGCGGCGAGTAGCTGGGGGTGGAGGACATGGTGACTGTGCAGGCCGAGTAGAGATCCGACACTCTGGTTGACGTGAGAACGCGAGGTAATTCCCCGTTCTTTACGGAGTACTCGGCGATGTCTCCGAGGTCCAAGCTCCAGGCGGGGCCCCGCGTTACCCCGCATTCCGCCTTCCCCGCTTTTCTTGTTTTGGAATAGCGTGGACCGAGCTTCCAGTACCACGAACCTGGTAATGCTGTACAGAGTACAGAGTACAGCCTAACTACCTATCCAGGTAGCTCTGTAGCAGCTATGACCTCCCAAGTGGATACCTGCCCTAAAAAGTATTCCCGCCTATCTCGGCTTATCAATCGTGCATATTACCGTCGGCTTCTTGCGGCAAGTTGGCGAGTCAGTCCATCCTAACGTATCCCCTCCAGCAAAGCACTTTATGCACGAGGCTCTTCTAGGTAGCTATCAATAAGCGCTCGCCAGAATGACGTTTGATAAAGTCCAAGTCCTGATTCTGGTATCGCGACCTTGTTTCTCGCAGTCCTTTTAAGAACGACCTCAGCTGCATAATCCATCAGCTCGATCTCTCTGATCCTCTGGAACAGATACACCATTTCTAACACCAAATTCGACCGATAGATGGACTGAGGCAGAATGCCTACGGCCACAGAAACCAACGGCGTTGGAACCGCCGCTGCCGTCCAGAACGGCAACGGCAGCACGCATCAAGCTACGTCTGATCAATATGTGGTGACAGAAAAACCGCTAGGTGACCCGCGCCCGCTGCGTGTCATCACCATTGGCGCGGGCGCCTCTGGCTTGAACCTGGCGTTCCAGATCAACAGGCACATGAAGAACGTCGAGCACGTCGTGTACGAGAAGAACCCGGACGTCGGCGGCACGTGGTACGAGAACCGGTACCCGGGGTGTGCCTGCGACATTCCGTCGCATAACTACCAGTTTACCTGGGCGCCGTCTGCGGAGTGGAGTCATTTGTAGGTTCCTTGTCTGAAAAATCACACAGTTGCTGGAGGAGATGAACGAAGTCGTTAATACAAGAATTTAGCTATTCAGGCGCACCAGAGATTCTGGAGTACTTCCGCAACATCGCGCGCAAGTACGATCTCTACCAGTTCGTCAGGCTAAACCACAAGATCATCGATGCGCGATGGGACGAGGACAAGGGTATCTGGAACCTTAAAGCGCAGAATACCGAGACTGGGGAGATTGTCGAAGACTGGGGGCATTTCATGATCACAGGCTCTGGAATACTGAAGTTGGTTAACTGCTGTCCGATAAAATGTTGAACTTGATACTAACGCAGTACAGCAACTGGAAGTGGCCTGATATTCCCGGCCTGCATTCCTTCAAGGGCAAGCTCCTGCACAGTGCGGCGTGGGACAAGAATGCAGACTGGCGAGGAAAGAAGGTGGCTGTCCTGGGCTGCGGATCGTCTGGCGTGCAGATTGTGCCAACTATCCAGCCTGGTTAGCATCCCTCTTCGCAAACAAGCAATTGATCAGATGAGCTGATATTGGTATGTAGATGCGAAACAGCTTATCACGTTCATTCGCACGCCGACGTGGATTACTGCGGGTTTTGCCCAGAGCAAAGCCGGACCTGGAGGTGCCAATTTTGCGTGTAAGCACTTACTTATAGTCGATATATCTACACGTCACACTACTAACGCTACCTAGTCTCTGAGGAGCAAAAGGAAAAATTCCGAAAGGACCCGCAAGAGCATCTCCGCTATCGCAAAGAGGTTGAAGCGGAGCTGAACAAACGACTTCAAGTTTGTATGCCAATCCACGTTCTAGATCTATAGATAGGCGTGTGTTATTGACTGGTATAGATCATCAAAGACAGCCCCGAACAAGCCGAAGCCGTCCGGTACTCGATCAATGAAATGAAGTCCAAACTCGGCGAGAACAACCCCCTGCTGAAGCATCTCATCCCAAGCTTTGCCGTCGGCTGTCGCCGTCCGACGCCCGGTAACGGCTACCTCGAAGCCCTGACCAAGGAGAACGTGCGCGTCGTGACGGACCGTATCACGGAGGTCGTGCCCGAGGGCATCAAGCTCGAGACGGGCGAGGTGATCAAGATCGACATGTTCATCTGCGCGACTGGCTTCGACATCTCCTTCCGTCCGCGGTACCCGGTTATCGGGCGTGACGGCATCAGTCTGGGAGAGCAGTGGAAGGACAAACCGAAGGGGTATCTGTCGTTGGCCGTGCCAAACTTTCCCAACCATTTCAGTATGTTCACTCCTCTATCAAATCTGTCTAAGTAGAGTCCTGAATTGTCCTAACGAGCTACAGTGTTCCTCGGCCCCAACGCCCCCATTGGACACGGCTCTGTCCTTCCAATCGTCGAGCACGCAGCCAAATACATCATCCGGATGCTGCACAAATGCCAGACGCAGGACATCAAGTCCGTGACAGTCAAGCAGGAGGCCGTCGACGACTTCGACGAGCACATCCAGGAATTCATGAAGCGGACGGCGTGGAGCACGCACTGCCGGTCATGGTTCAAGAACGGCAAGATCGACGGGCCCATCGTGGCGCTGCATCCAGGAAGCAGGGTGCATTGGTTCCACATGCTGGAGGAACCGCGCTACGAGGACTATGTGTGGGAGAGTCTGGGCAGGAATCGGTTCTCCTATCTCGGAAATGGCTTCAGTGTCAAGGAGGCGGAGGGCAAGGACACGACGTGGTATTTCGATAATCCGGATGAGGGGTACGAGCGTGTGAAGTATTGATCATGCAGGACGATATGCATTAATGTGGCCAGTTGTAGGCCTTAGAATTTGTGTTATTGCGTACAAGCAGCTTCGCCTTCCAGCTGTCCAATTTCTGTTCATGTATACCTATGGCATTTTCTTTTACTCAAATAATTTTTGTGGATTTACTTATTGATCAACGCTCCCTAAGTATATGAATGTCCAGTAGCAGCTACACAATATCCCGTATTGTACAGTACTTAGTACCTTGGGAAAGACAAGTTAGGGCTGAAAATAAATATATATTCATTCGCCAGTCATGATAATATAACCAGATAGAGCATAAACTACCTTAGAAGTATCAGCAGTATAGAATGTCTAAATATAGTCAGGTCTATATAAAATTGACTACTCATCCGTCTCTATTGTATGTCTTCTTAACCCTTGTCAACCAGTCTCCACATCCGAAAGACGAAAATCAGACCATAGGAAAACTATATTTATATCAACAGTCCTTGCTGTCACTGCACGTAACACAGGAAGTACCACTCTCCGTAGTATTACTTTCCAACGTTGCGCCCAACGAATATTGCATGTCGACAAAAGTCTTCACATCCTGCAGCGCCATCTTCGCATTCTCATGCTTCTCAGGCGGAAACAGGATGTACCCATGCGGACTTCCGGGATAGATCTTCAACACAGCCTCCTTGCCCGCCATCATCCACCGCGCGCTCATAAACACCGAGTCCTCGAGCAAACAGTCCTCCGTGCCGACGGTGAACAGCGCCGGAGGCAGGTCCACGCCCGTCAGGTCGGCGAAGAACGGCGACACGTCGAGCGACGTCAGCTGCAGCTCGTCGTCCTTCATGCCCGGCACGTACGCCTCGCGGAAGTGGTCCATCATCTCCTCGTCCAGGATGAGCGTTGGGTGCCGCCGAAACAGCTTCGTGCCGGGTTGCCACCGCATCGTGTAAGAGCCGTAATGCAGCAACAGCCCTTTTAGCCGGAAGGAGGCGTGCTCTGCGACGGATGATCGCAGAAGACGAAGGGTAGTCACAACGGCCAGGTTTGCCCCTGCACTCTCGCCCCCGATGAAGGCGAAGTCAGTGCCGAAGCATTGCCTTGCATGCCTGATCAGCCAGCTCGCAACGTCGAAGCAGTCGTTAGGCGCAGCAGGATACGGATGCTCCGGCGCGACGCGGTATCCGACAGACAGGCAGACGAGACCACACCGGTCCGCGATCTCCTGGAGGTAGACATCGGACGAGGCTTCGTCGTTGAGCACCCACCCGCCGCCGTGGATGTGCAGGAGCAGGCCACGGACTGGAGCGTGGTTCTGGCCCCGACGGGGTTGGGGCCTCAGAACACGACACGGGATCTCTCGATCGGGGTCTCGAGAGGGCACGCTGAATGGAGACGCAGTCGGCAGCAAAGTCGCCGCAGGGAGGGGCGTGAGGCCTTTTTTCCGCATGAGTCGGTATTCTGCTGCGCCGACCTGCAAGCATATAGCCGAGGTCAGCAGACGTCACATAAAACAACGATTTTACAATCACCACGATCAACATGATCAATAATAGTACCCACCTCGTACCATTTCCGTGTGCCCGCCTCGATCTCCTGGAGGTGTCGGTTAAAGGCCCTCGTCTCGGGTGTGATGGCGGACGGGCGAAACTTGGCCGCATTCAGGGTTAAGTCGCTTTGCAGGGGAGCAGACGAAGAAGGCAGACTTCGATCCACGACGCCATTCGCATCTCTCTCGTCGTCTGTGTTTGCTTGCTGACGATGATGCGATGCTTCCGTCTCTGTTCCTGCCATCTCTATCCCCCAGGCTGATCCAATCTAGGACTCTGTGCAGTACGGCCAGAAAAGTACACGACAGCCCGCTCAATATGTTTATATGGCAGTTCCAACAGGCAATCGCTAGCGGCGTCCTTTTATGCTTATGTATGAAACATTTCCATTTGCTAAGTGCAGTCGCCGCAAGAGTTTAGATCCCTGTCTGTCGGCCGGGGTTTGTCCGTTGATCGCTAAGTCGGCGATTTTGTATTATTAATAGCATCGTAGCGTAAATCTACTGGTAGGCTCTCGAGAACATACAACGCCGGATTAGAAGTTTTCTCTGCCAAAAAAACAAAGCCTTTAATGATCACCCTATTAGTGGGGCTGTAGGTCAAACAAGCCAGCAAGCAACGATGACAGCCTTCCTTGGGTTCAATAATGGCAAAGTCCCGATACCCATTTTTGTATCCCAATTTATGTATCGACATAACTGATTCATATAATTAAATTGAATTAATATTAATAAATTTTTTTTACAGCACGGGAAATTGGTACCACATGATTAAAATTAAGGAATAGAAACTTGAACGTTAACTACATATTTTAAATTTGTATATATGAGAATCATTTGATATATCTATTTATGAACCACATCAAGCATAATGTGCTAGTGCCAACGAAAAAAAAGTATAATCACGCTGTAGATGCCAGACAGCACATGGTGGTAATGGACATATATATGTAGAAAGAAATCTATAATTTTCTTAATATACGAAACCAAGACATTTTTCAAATCAATATACGATAAAGGAAAGATTTAACAGCACTAAGGAAGATTTTTTTTCTGCTTTTACCTCTTTTTTTGTCTCTCTCTCTTTAGAAAAGAAAATACTGTCTGCGAATAAATCCCAAGTCTGCCCCATTCCAACTAAAGATAAATGAATTTATTTCCACTGCATCACACCGTATCATACACAAATACATAAGGTATATCATGATATTTACTAACAATAAAACAAATCTCAACATTTACTTCTGCTGACCGTACTGAAAGAACCCCTCCCCACTCTTGACGCCCAACTTCCCCTCATCCACCATCTTCTTCAACAGCCGCCGCGGCCCCTCGGGGATCATCCCCGGCCGCGTCTCGGCGTAGTGGTTCTCAATGTCCAGGACGACGTCCAGGCCGACGACGTCCATCTGCTCGCACGGCCCCTTGGGCGTCTTGAGCACGCTCTTGAAGATGGCGTCGATTTCTTGCGGGGTGGCGATGCCTTCGTCTAGTGCGAGGAGGGCTTCGCGTTTGATGGCCGCCCAGATTCTGGTGTTGTTAGTAGATGTAGTCGAAAAAAAAAGCACGGAGAAAACGACAGACGTACCGGTTGTAGATATACCCAGTCGACGTACGACGGACATGGAACGGCTCAAAGCCGTGCGCCTTCGTCTCCTCCATCAACCGGGTGATAATCTCTGGTTTGGTCTCGTCTGAGCCCATGACTTCGATTGCTGTTGTGTGTCAGTACATGGCTTCTTCTCTTCTCCTTCTTCTTGTTTGCAATTATCTCATTTATTATCAACCAACACTTGAGATTACTTACCAGACGTCTCAGGTGGCCAGTCTGTGTGAAAGCAGTCAGCATCTTACCCTTACTAGGACACTATATTGAGAGAACACGATAGAACATTTATTCCCGGATTCAGACGACACTTACAAGAATGCAAACTGACAAATCTGTCACGATGCTTGACATCCAAATCCTTCAAGATCTCCGCAATCGTATAGCTACTCGAATTCGACGCGATGATGGTCTCCGGCCCAGCAGCCTCGTCCATCTGCTTGATGACGGAGCGCTTGAGCGGTAGCGATTCAGGGACGCACTGAAACACAAAACTCCTATCAGAATCAAGCTCTACCAGGCTCTAGAGTGCAAAAAGTGCTCACCTCAACTAGCAGCCACGAATTCGCTATCGCCGGCTGCAGGCCCTGCGGAGGAGTCGACGTGATGATCGACCCCCATTTCTGTACACTGCGCGCGATGTCGGCATTCTCTTTGCTTCGTCGCAGGACCTGGATCTCGTCCCATGCGCGCGAGAGCTGTTTCTCGTTCTGGTCGACCAGGTAGACAGGTCGGCCGAGTCGGGACCACTGTAGCAGTAAGTAAGCAAATAGCTTGCTTCGTATATTATAATTGATGATAGCAATTATATATGCATGCACGCATGTATATAGTAATGTATGCACGTACCATAAATGCAAGCCGTCTCCCCTGCGTGCCAGCGCCCAGCAGGGTGACGCCCTTCTTCACGGCTGCCGATGACATCACGGAGCTAATAATGGAGCTTGCTTAGGTAGGTATTGCCTAGGTTAGGTACCAGCTATCAAACAATTAAGCTACGGGAGAACTATGGTCAATCCAAGCACGTCAGTCACCGAAGCGATTATATTATGGTATATTATTTCTGATTTATTTGCATGGAATTTTTGCTGCTTGCATCTGTCTTACTCGTAATGGCCCCTTCCGCTGGACCGCGCGGAAGACCTCGGCTTCTTGATGCGCGGCGCTAATTGGCTCAGCAGCCAGGCTTGGCGGGGTAGACTGGGGCTTAGGGCTTAGGGTCAGGGCTGCCCCCAGGAGTTCCGGAGGATCCTGTTACGCAGAATTATTTCAGTCGCATGAGAGCCTTGATTTTTGTTTCCTCTACAGAGTACAGAAAAATATCAATCTGACGCAAACGTACAGCAACTGATCTCAGTCCCACCGCCGCCCCACATCCTATGCTCAGGCCAGATCTCGAACCGCCTGCTGAACAGTGGCGAAAAGCGGGCCTTGTCCCAACATTATTTCCCCCAAAATCCCATTGACAAAGATTTTAATGGGTGCATTTTCATTCATAGCTATCTATATGATATATAGTCTTTACCAGGCGTCCATGTATGTAGTTAGGGGTTCCTTGCTGCGCTGAACTTTCCGCCAGTGGATATATACAAATCTTACCCTTTCCTAGATCCCAGCGGGAGAGGTATTCCTAGTTTCTATACACTACTCACTCAAGTACAGCAAAACAACTATTTTCTCAATCTCTGCCCTATATCCATCTTCCAGCTACATCTACATGGACTGAGATCCTTTTATTGCATTCACTCTATCCATGAGAAGTGCATCGTCCAGATGTATGCCTGCTCGTGCAGTGACGTCATATCTGGCAGAATGATGCCGCCTCCCTCACCGCTTTAGAGATTCCATCCCTTCGACTACTCTGTATTTTCATTTTTATCCCCTTAAACACATTGTCGTTTCAACTCATTTTGCTGCATTTTATCCAACGGTGGCAAACAGGGCCTGTTCACTGCTGCAGTTAGACAAGTCACCTACAGGCATGTATACTGGATTTGGCTATGTGGAAACCATACTCCAATCCCTATTTCTCTCATTCCCTATCATCTTCAGTCTAGCTGGGCATATGTATGAAAAAACTGAAAGGCCTCGCAGATTCACAGATGAACCTGGCTGTTGGAAAATTCAGCGGAATCCAGATTCGATTATGAGAAGAAGTTCATGAAAGCCACGACGGATCTTTTTTTCTAGAAGCGAGTTTTGCTATCTAATGGGAAATACTGAATCAACTGACAAGAGTGTAAGGAGCTGAGAGTGCTGATCGGCTATGTGATTGTACAATAAACACCAGTGGCATTATTGTGGACCTCCATTTCAGCGCTCCCGTCACTGGTATCTCCATCGTCACCTCCATCCGTGTCGCGGGCACGATTCGCACTTGTTCCATCCAAACGACTCTGGGTTGATTGGTTGTCCACTACCTCACCAGTCGTAAAGAACGGGTGGTCCTTCCCTAGCTGTCGACCCTGACAAATATACCCCATGGGTGTATCTCCAAAATCCTGTCCTTTCCGTGTGACGGCGAACTACTCTTCCAGGAAGCCAATAGGGTTTGCTGTAAACCGATCACCCGGAACTGAAGTTGGTGCATCATCCTGGACATCCTGTAGATGAAGATAATTCACGATATCTTCGTACTCATCAATTTCAAAATACAGCCGACCGCCCAGAATTCCCAATTCAATTATCAGTTTGTCCGGCAGCTCCTGACCTCCCTCAAGTTTCGGCAGGGAGTAGAAGTTCGCTCGATTAAATTGAAGCATACCTTTCGTGATCGGTGCTGCATAAACGAGGAGATGCGCCCCCGGTGGATCCAGTTTTCGAATCACAGGAATGAGGCGTCCTGCTTCTTCCGGGATGATCACAAGTGCTGTCCGAGTTTTCGGACTCCACAAGATCCAATGGACCGGACGCTGCGACAGGAGGGCTTGTTAGTTCATTTTACTTGCAGATTTCCGTTTCCTCTACTCACCAGGAAATCATCATACCAGTGACCTTCTTGCCCAACGATGGTTCTGGTAAATTCTATCGAAACGAACAGACGTGACTGTCTCCCAGGATTGATACTGTACTTGCGTCCCAGTCTCGTTCGCCGCAGGGCTAAGAATACCGGTTCATACCATCCTTGTCCGCACAGTTCGCCGGTCTTTACAAAATGCATGAAGTCTGGATCCAGCCCACGAAAAGTCAATGGGTCAAAATGCACCGGCCGCTGTACTTGCCGCACCTCCTCAACCTGCAAGACGACTTCCCGCTCCTGTTCAACCTCCTGAAACGCCGAGGTAGGGTAGATCGGCTCGCTGCTGTTCAGTTTGCCCTCTTGTTGCCTCTTCAGCTCCTCCCAGAATTCCTGCAATCTTCCTGATCCGCGTATCATACTGTTTACGGACTCACCTTCCGGTCTAGGCCTGTATAGCTGTTCCAGGGTTTGTTGTTCTGGCTGCAGCAACGCCTCTAGGTATGCTCTTCGGTGGTCAGATTTTTTTCAGAAATCTCGCATGTGCGGACTCCGCTTGCATCCGACGGCAGAAGTCGTATCCTTGAGCTAGGTACAAATGTTGTAGTTGCTCGTTGCTCCGACAAGTTTGCTCTAGAAGCCAGCTGACAACATCGGACGCATCGATTTTGTCACCGGGTGACTTTTCACGGAGATCCAAAATGCTCTGGTGGACTTCGGGTGACGCCATGAACACAACCGACTGCGATGTTCCCAATTGACGGAGTCGCATGGCAGCTAGATATGAATTAGAATCAAGTCTTCAGGAAAAGGAATATCATATACCTTGAACGGTGTGATCTTTTGTCTGTCCCAGACTCAAAGTTAACGCCCCACGAGCGGACTCGGAAAATTTGAGATCAGTGCCACGAGTATGAGCCTCGTCCAAATACACGAGGCAATCCTCGAGGTTGTCGACGAATGGGGATGCCAAAAGGGGCACGCTTTCACCATTGCGATAGAGAACCCAGGCCCTGCTGTTCACATCAAAGTAGACCGCCGCAGGTGCTTGATGGTCAATATCCAACCACTGCCTGACGAGGCCTTTGTTGTCCAGCTCCAAGATATGCGCCCCGGCGTCGATGAGGAGACGAATTCCCATATCTCGGAGGCGACCGAGGAATTCGATCTCGGATAGGTGTTTCCCATTTGGTTGGGCAGCTAAAACATACGATCGATTCCGCTCCTGCAGAAGGTAAGTCAGCACTTCTGCATTGGTATGCGATAATCCATGAAGATCCTCTTGTCTGATGGTCAGCGGCAGCATCCGTCGGTTGTCATTTGTGCCGCTAAATCCGGTTGTCAATCCCGACGGGCCTAACTGCTGGTCGGGGGTAAACAGAGGAATATCCCATCCAGATGCCTGCGGTTTTTGAGAGAATTGTCTGGCGTGGACGGGAAAGACAAAGTGGTTTAAGTAGTCATCGATAACAATGACAACGAAACGCAGATGTTTCCAAAGCGCCAAAATTTGCCCATCATCGTCAATGTTGATTAGGTTCCATCGCCGCAGCGACTCAGGGAGCGTAGCCGAGTGATGTGTCCAACGATCGTACTCGCTGGATGGATCGTTCGATCGCAGAAGATGCTGCAGAGCTTGACGCAACTGCGGTACAGTCAGTCCGCCATAGTAGAAGGCCAGACAGGTGAAGAGAATGGCGACGTCAGGATGACCCCATTCTGCCTGCTCAGACGATACCCCTTTGGCATGGAACGGAACAGCGATAGGATCGCGCTCTGGGTGCAACCCATACTGCACATTCCACCGTTTTTTTTAGGCACAGCAGACATTGGAGTCCGCTGAAATAAACGACAACACATGATCAGGGAGCGTAAGAATAATCCCAGATTGATGGAGGAACTCTTCGTGAAGGCTCTCATAAGCGTGGGTGGTGTCGCAGGAAGACGACCTTTTGCGGGAGAAAGGGATATGTCGGATTTCTCGGCCTACAAGACCTCCTAGTCTGGATTGAATGATCTGAGCCGTCTGCGTCAGTAACGCCTTGGGCACAATCAGTCGAGCAAGATTTTTGCCATTGGCAAGGACACAGGCAACCATAGGCATAATCACGGATGTTTTGCCTTGAAATGCGTCAGTACCTTCTCGCTCGGTACAGGTTCGATTGGATCTCTTACCTTGGCCCATGTTCATCTGGAGTACTGAATTAGACCCAGATGCAGGGGAGATAGTAGCAGGCGCTACATCCACCTGGTCGTCCCGAATGAGCATGTTGGCGCCAATCTCAAGCAGAATCCAATCTGGATACTCCCGGGGCTTCCAATTGCCATGTCCGGGGTTTGTCCGTTCTTGATGGAGTCGCCGTGCATCTTCCTTTCTCTGCGCATCCTCGATGCGCAGCAGATGTTGGACTCGCGTAACAGAGACAGCATATGCAATTAACGACTCTTTCATGTGTGGATTAATCCAACGACGGGCTGTTGTTCGCAGCTGCTCGAGCAATGTTACTGGTGTAAGGCATGGCCACAAATTCCCGGCATCTAACCAGACATGTCGAGCATCGCCTGCAGCGAAGGCATCACAGATAGCTTGAAATTGGTCTTTCATGGTTTGTTGAGCTTCTGCTATCCTGGAAGATAGATCGGAAATCGGAGGAATGTGCCGAGGCAATCTTTCTAACCGCTGAAGCTTTTGAAGGGCGACCAGGCTCTCTTTCAAGTCTTCTCCATACTGCCTACGAATGGAGCTGGGTGAACTGATCATGGTATCCACAATGGTCTTGAGCTCCTCGATTGCAGGAGAAGGAGCTGATATTGGCACCGTCTCATTGCTAAATTCCTCATGGAGCAACTCGCTCGTTGGATTGGTGATACGTGAATCATCAAGTATTCCTCTTCCAGCAGTTGGACTAGGGCCTTCCTTTCGGAGAAGATCATGGGAGAGGGTGGGAATCACGCTTTTTCGGTCAGGAATAGGCAGTAGTGGCGTTTGCTTCGGTCTCGTCGTGGATGACACGAAGTTAGTCTTGGTTTTGTGACGATTCAGAACTTCCTGGACTTCTGTTAGATGTTGAGAAAACTCCCAATTCTGGAAGAGACGCCGCCATTCCTGCCCGATGGCCTCCTGGACTTTTGTGATGTCTATGGCCCTTGCAGAGAAATCCTCAATAGTAGGCTCTGGACACGGCCACTGCCGCAGAAGAATGAGAGCAAGGTCCTCACATTCCTTGTCGCATCGCTGTTCGTACTCCTCTTTTGCTGGATCAATACCCCGCAGTCGTTTTACGGGGCATGCATTATCTGACTCTGTATTGACAATGAATGCTCTACAGCAAGGTCGTATCAGACTCACTAGACCGTCTAACGTTGGTTGCTGACCGCGTTGAAAATCTATATAAGCAGCGTAAGCAGGCAGATTCAGCACGCGGAGCTCCTCAACCAGGAAAAATGCGGCGATGGTCCTTAACAGCGTCATGTTCACATTTTTACCGAACGCCATTACACCCAATTGGAACATGAGAGAATCTCGACTTTCTCGCTCGCTACGCCGGCAAAGATTCACCAGAGGTCCCCATTGGAGGCCTATATCCGCCTCCAGAAGATCACTAAGGAAAGGGTTCGAGAAGGTGGAAACATAACCCTGAATGAAAGATGTCTGCTGGAGGGCCTTGGCCAGATGTTTAGTTGTATGAATACGCGACGGCTGTATGCGCAGCAGATTGGTAATCTCGGAGACATTACGCGTTGCTTCATTCTCCTCTAGATGATCTCGACTTAGATATGGATGATCTTTGGCAGGGATCGGTTCGCATGGAAACAAGTTTGGCCTTTCATATCGACGACGATGAGCATAACCTCGTTCGCGGAGGTGAAGAACATCACCGGACTCCAAGCTTGGCAGCTGCACAGGCGAAATGGAAAAGACGGACAGTTTCTCGACTTTCGCCAGGATGGCTTCGACGACGGTGCGATAACAATCGTGCTTGAATGGTAACCGTGAGCTCTTTATCCCAGGTGACAATCTGCTGGCTACGCCCATTCTCGGGGTAGTACTTCCGACTCGGTGTAAGTCTGGCTATATCGAGCAGCTGTTGCAGCTGGCGATGATTCAGGAGCGTCCAGGGCTGACTGGATCCAGACGATAGAGAAGCCAAAGCTTCCTCCGTGCCAGAGCGACCGGTTAGAGGATCAGGCAAGACGAACGATGTGTAAGCGTGCAACTTTGCCTTCATATAAAGCAGCAAAGGCTCCGATGCACACTGCAAGCGTCCTAGTACATTGTCAATAAAGTATCGGCCGTAGAGTCCATGGTTTATAACGCGAACAGCTACATGAATGCCGTCACGTCGATATATGAGCGAAGCGATGGGGACGATGACACTTCGTTGGACAGGGTTTCGGGCATCTCGAAGAACAATCTTGTTTTGCAACCCGTACCAGATCCCAGCGTCCTGGTCGGGGTCAACCTCGGCACGCAGGTGGTTTGATTGCAGCAGTCCCTTTTCATTGACTCTAAACTGAAGATCCAGCCGCTTAAGCTCGACTGTAAGGCTTTTCCGAAATGGCTGGGAGACAACCAGTCTCTCAGCATCTTCAAAATGCTCGAAAAAACCCGCAATACGGTGAAAGAGCTCGCTATGCGGGTCAACAAGCAGGACCATTCGGCATGACACCCTTCCCGTGCGGACATCGAGGTTCCAATTGCCCGGCCGGTTGAATTTCCAGATATCGGGTCGTTTCCTAAATTCCAGCCGTCCCGATATCAAATCGAGCCAGTGCACACAATCGTCGATCAACGGACCAGGGACGTCACAATCCTTTCCGGTGCCGAACACCGCTCTGTCCACGAACTCGAGGATGGTTCCGGATATACGAGCACGAACAACCTGCTTCCCATTGCGCAAGCCCAGATGGATTTGGTGTCCATGCCTTCGGGTGGCCAACATGTAGGTCATGCCTGGCAGGCCAGAGGGGAACGTCAGCAGATGCTCGTCACCAAACAGTTCCTGGACGATAGCGGATTCTCGGATTTCTCTGGGTAGTTTTCCCAGAGGCTTGTTGTTGACTAGGAGGTGGCCCTCCAAAAGATGGTAATGGACCACCTGCGGACGTGTAAATTCAGTGGCCGACACTGTAGAGACCATCCACCATTCCCAGCGATCAGACAACGTTTCCCAGCGCCCATATACCCTCGTGCAGTCGTCTGCTTCGGGCCACACGCGGTTAATGGCCGATTCGAGAGCGTCCGGATGGGATGTGACAGACTTTAGCAGAACGTGTCGCATGCGGAATGTCATTTTCAGATCGCAGATCAACATGCAGCTCAATACTGGAGGAAGTTTCCACGGGTTACTGTCCAGATTCTCCTGCACAGCAATCGAAGCCTCGAAGAAGCAGTGAAGCTCTTCAGGTCCCCATGTGTCCTGGTTGTCTGTCGACACGGAAAATGTTCGTTTGCACAGCATCGCAGCGATGAAAGCATACCTCGTCGCACTCGCAGCAGTCTCTGCATCTACCGCACTGCGGACCTCGTGCTGTAGTTGGCGAACCCACTGCAAGGTGATCTGCCTCACATGGTGCAGAAGCTTGAGGCCTTCTTGGACCGAACATCCGGTTCCAAGGGTACATGTGCGTAGAAGTAAGGTCAGTAGAATTTCCATATAATACGATTCACGCCAATTGCAGGAAATTCCCTCGAGATGTCTCTCTATCTGGGTAAGTAACTGGGTGCAAAATGTCACGTCCTTGAACACAGCGTGGATCATACGCAGGTCATCGTCATCCTGCATCGGCCCAACCTGTAAGGCGAGATGGTTGTACAAACGCATCGTGGCTTCCAGACTAAAGTTGAGGTTGGATGAACCTAACTCGCGCACCATGGACAACCAGCGACAATTCTTGCCTGAGAGCAAACTTTGGTAGGCTGTGAACTCGTGAACGGTCAGCTGGGGTGGACACCTGGTCTGACTAGCGACAATTTCGTAGGAGGATGGGCCATTTGCGTCCGCCGCAAATTGTCGCAAGTTTTGAGCGTCCAGGAGGGGCAAGAGTGAGCCATCTAGTCAAATCTCGATATTACATGTCTGAGTATGGCCATTCTTGTCTCTGAGAATGTCGACAGGTCTATCTGCCGTAGCCTAAGAACATATTAGACCAGGACAGCATTTGGACGTACTCTGTCTTTGAGAAACGCATTCAGTTGGGGCTACCAGAGTAGCGGATCTATGTTCTCAATCACCCCATAAAAGCTAGGGACGATTCCTCACTCACATAACCCTTTTTTTTTAGCCATCGATATGCGTTGTACTCACATACGAAGCTGTTAATTTCTCGATGAGGAGAAAATATTAGATTAATATAAAGTGGTTCAGAGAGATGTGGAGAGACTGCAGGAATACTAATAAGACGGGAAGACTATGACTAATTCTGAGCAACTCTGAGTACGGACCCAACCATCATTTCCGATTTGGTGTGATATCAAATATCATTATTAGCACCAAATAATACATCCTAGTGGAAGAATTAAGGTCGATGTCGAGAATGTGCATGAGATGTTAGAGCATCCTATCCAGAAGCAAATAATAGCAATGTATAGGACTTATTTTGACACACATAAGGAGGTAATAAATCAATGCCAAACGACAACTTAACCCTCTATGTAAACGTTATCAGAGGCGAGTATCTAGACAATGTAGTCTATATAACATGCTCTCCTTGCGCCATCCATTTCAGGGAATCCCAAAGGACCCATCATGCACGATTACATTTACTTTCGTGTTCTCGGCCATTATTATTGGCCTGTTGCTGCTGCTGCTGTATTCCACTTAATCTGCAAAGGGACCAACAATATTTCCCATCTCATCCTTGCTAGCGGCCACTGTGCTCGTATTCGCTTGTAAACTAATTATAAGCGGGCAGTTAGATTTAAAGGGGATGCAGGTCGAGAAATTGTTTTTCTTTCCTTCTATCAATTCTTCAATTCTCTCTCTCTTTTTACAATGGAAAAAAAAAGATACTCATGATGATACATATTCTCAAGAAATACAGCCAATAGAGCAGTTTATCTCACGTTTTCAGCATGTAAAAATTCTCCTGCAGAGTGTGAGTACAATATCCTACCTATTATCGTCATCCTCCCCATCTCCAAGCAGGCAAGCAAGCAAGATGCAAACAAAACTTCTTCACTCGCCGGAATGAGCCGCATCGAGGTTGCTTAAGCTCGATGCGAGCGTGATTCTATTTTCATATTTCTGAATGCTTTTGCCGTTGGGGTCAATGATTGCTTGTTTCTGTTCTGTATTCGCCGCGTGATATACTTGATAGCTGACGGTTGTTGGTGTTGATGTCTTCCTTGAGTCGTGTTGATCGTGCCTCGTGTATCGTCGTTGTCAAATCTAGTTTTCAAAGAAATCGTCTCAAGGGTGGTCAGAGATGACTTGATGAAAGAGGTATGAAAAGAAAGGGCCAGTCATACACACGAATCAATAGTGTTTTACGAGTGTGGGTAAGCTATTCACCAGCAGATCTACTTCCCGCGTAAAAAAACTTATTACCTATTAGGGAAGAATACAAATGACCTTATCTCCGCGAGTCGACGTTGGGTTCATATTTCTGTCTAACACAGCTACCCAGATAGCTTGTGCCACCTCGCTACAGAAACAAGCAGATGACGCATCACACCGACTCATCCACCAGTCCTCATTCCAATCTGCCATATTCTGCCAGGCGGTCTTGATTCCTTGCCTTTCATTCATTGGACCATCTCCTCCCATTGCTTATAAATTTTGTTCCTGACCCCTCTCCCTCTCTTTGGTATCTGGTGCCTTGTGTGAAGAGTTTTCCAAGATTGCTTCTTAGACTCAGACCTTGGTCCGTCTCTCCTACACAGTTTCCTCTACTTGTCGACAGGTCAGCATAGCATTTCCTTATTATCATTATTCTGCTTCTTGGTCACGTTCGTACGCTGACAGCAGGCTGGAAAGGACAATTACGCAGCTGCCAACCCATCATCTTCATTTCTGTCAACTACCACAATGGCCGATCAATGCAAGTCGTCTGTCCCCTGTATTCCACGTTCATGGCTAATGTATTCACTCTCCAGCTCCCTCCGAGAAGCCTTCTGCCTCTGTCGAAGCCACGGCCGTTGCCTCTCCCGACATCGACGCAGTTGCTGAAGAGATCTCCGCCTGTCTCGAAAACATGCTCGGCGCCGTCAACACCCATCGGGAGAACGTTGAAAGGATATCGGATCTGATGACGAAGAACCGGCTAATGATTGCTCCTCGGGTTCCTGGCGAGAAGCCGGAGTGAGAGGAGAATCGGGTAAGCTGCCCGAATGTTGGCATGTCCTTATCAGGAGAAAGATGCGAATCATTTCCCTGGATTCTTGGTGCTCTGCTAGAAAATAGGTTCCAATGGATGGTTTCCTTGGTATGCATACATGACTCGATGGTACTGCTCCAAAGCAAGTAGCTAGACAAAAATATTAATTTAGACTTCTAGGCATTCACATAAATTAGGTGACTATTAAATTACTTATTACAAAAAAAGTAGAAGATCCTATATCGAAGTCATCATGCAGTCCTAGGGTGAAAGTATTATATGGTATAGAGTATCAACCAGCTAGACGCCTCTCCCATGCACTGCCGAGTCAGTACACGCATTCTTAAACACCTGAAACCGAAACTTATTCCCGATATAGAGAAACAGCTCCTGGACGAACTTCTTCTCCGGCATGCCGTCCGAAAACGTGTCAAAGGCCACTCGCAGGGGGAACATGATCCGCAAGATCAGCAACCCCGGCGACGTACGCACATAGTAGTTCATGCTCCGGCAGATATCGCATGCCAGCTGGTACCGTTCATGCGGACTGAGCACCGCCACCACCAGGCCGCTGTCGTCCACCGCGGTGACGACCAGCCGCAGCGCCCAGTACAGACACATCGACAGTAAAAGCAGCTGGTCCGGATAGACCAGGTTGGGCGGCGTGACCATCTCGCCTGTCGCCAGGTTTCGACACTGGAAACGAGGGAACGTGTAGAGGTTGCCGTCCAGGTCGTTCTCGCTGGAGTGCACTGTGTCTTCGAAGACCTCACGCATGTACCCCATGGGATAGCTGCTCGCGTGGATACTTTCCCACAGCTGCAAACGGCGGTCCAGCTCCGTTGCTGTCTCCCAAAGAGCAGCTTGGCTGGACTCGATGGCTTCCGGAGTGGCGATACTGCCTCGTTTCAGGCCGGCCTTGAAATTGTCCCAGGCTGCCAAGTACGCGGGGATCTCGACGGCGATATCCAACAGGCGATGCAGTATGTCTTTCGGTGGGCCGTTCTCTGGCCAGGGGACAGTGATCCAGTCCGGGTTTGCTAAGAATGTTGGACATCTGCTGACGATGGTCGACGTCACCTGGACAATCCCGGTCAGGATGACTCCGGTTCTTGGATAATATCAGTCTTGCTCACCCAAAACAGCCGCAGGCCCACATACAACGATTTGTCCAAGCCAACTCGATGCCGATACGGTGTTCTCAGGCGCATCAGCTCGAGCCCTCCGCGCTGATGGTTCAGGAGGGCATCTTTCACGCTATGCTTGAACGCCTGATGACAAGCTGTGAGCGTCACCAAACGAGACAAGAACTGCGATGCAGTGGATGGACGCACCTCAATGATCGCGAACAAAACCACCACCGCCAACACCTCGGTCGACTTGCGTTGTTCGGGGTCATCGACCGCCTTCTGCAGCAGCTTGAGCACGCCACTGTACTGCGCATTGCCGACCGTTTCGATCTTAGGATTCTTATCGCGTTTGCTGACGAATACGAGGGCAGCTGCTTCAAACGCACTCGATAACAGCGGAGAGAAAATGCGCATTTCGGCAGCCGCTCGAATGTCAAAGCCAGTGCCATAGTAAACGGAGGACTGCGGTGAAAACGCCTCGACCAAGTCGCCCAGGAACACTTCGAGGAGGGCTTTTCCGGAACTGGGCGGCGTTGGTATCACGCTCTGTATTTGCCATCGTGAGCTATCGGGTCTCAATCATGTCGTTATCCCACTCACCCACCTGAGTCTGCTCAGCGGTAGTACCAGGTTTCATTGCCAACTTTCTCATCTGCGTCACTGCCCTGGAAGCCTGTTTCCCCTCTGATGAATTCGGCGTGGGGATGGCAGATTGACCATTGCTTGTCTTGGTGGCATCCTTTGCCTCGGTCAGCTGTTCCTCCAGCTGCTTGCATCGCTGCCGCAGCTTCTCAATGAGATCAGACTGCTCGATGAAATGGAGGTCCTTCTTGGTCGTTCCATATTCACACTCGGAGGGGGCGCCGCGGGAGCAACAAGCCCGGCATGGCTTGACCCGGTCGCACTGATGCCGTTAGGAATAGCCCTCGTTACACTGCAATTCCATCGGAGTCATACCTTCACTTTCCGTTTCTGGCAATTCAAGCAGGACAGCGTCCGCCTGAACTTCTTCCCGGTACGCGGGGGTCGTGAGGCTTCGTGATCGGATGGTTGACCGTCACCCATGGGGAATGCTGCATCATCAGCCTCGCGGTAATCTCGCTGATGTCATCGACACTGACAGGATCAATAAATAAACTTCATGACGGGTAGCAAGCGCGTGGCCTCCACGTGGCTTTTAACTACCTGATGGAGGCATTGCTGTAAGCTAATGAGTCGGATGTCGGCACTCTTCTTCGGCAATGAGACAGGTCACAGGCGCCCCGTTTGAAGAGGCGGCTCCTTCGTTGACTGTCAGATTCAGCTATCCCTGGAATCAGGGCTGCAGTCGCGCTGTAATTTGCTGGAACTTGCAGTACGGAGTAGTGCCACATGCTGGTGGGAACTTTGCCCGGGTCCGTCTTTGTCTCTATTTCGGTAGTGATCGTCTAGCGGCCAACCTCTAAAGCAGGGAATTATAAGCTAGAAAGATTCTAGAAGCATTACGAATAGACGGTTGCCTTACAAATCGGGGCGTCCACGAGTCATGGAAAGGCATGGAAGGTAACTTGGGAGCGTGGTTCGGCCCATTCATTGATTTACTCGTCTGGCAATGAACTTCAATTCAACTAAACATCCCGTTGTCATCGTCAGCTAACCCGGATTGACTTGAACACCCGTATTCTAACTGTTACACAAAGGATGGATCACAGGTTGCGCTTCGATGATCGATCAGTGTATTCAAGGAAAGATCAGCTCCTGCTCCACAGCTCTGCCAACGTCGGAAAAAAAAAACTCGCAAGGCTAACGAATAATGCAAATCAACCACATAATTCCCAAATTCGAGGTTGTCGGAGTCGGAGAGAAGGCAGTGCCGTACAAAGACGCTTTCGCCCTAACAGCAGGAAAACCTACCAATGAAATCGAGACCTGCGACAAGAGCACGAGTTTTATCCCTTGTTAACCTGCGCTAATGATAAGAAAAATGCATGCAAAGACCCGTCCGATGTCAATCAGAAGTGGGGAAGCATTGCAGTAGGTTCAAAGATTGACAGCTGCGCAACGTGCTAAGCATGAAGCAATCCTGTACAGGGTACAGAGTACTCTGCACACCGATCAAAATAACAAGCTAGTAGACCACGTTTGTCGCGAATCGCGTGGACACTAGCTTAGTGGATGATGATCCTAGGGCTGTCAAACATCGGACGATTCATGCTAGGGCTGAAGAAGGGCGGTGGGGGACTGAGTGTGCCAGGGCAAATGGCGTATAATTTGTTTATTATTGCTAAGAAGAGACTGCTGCATACGGAGTAAGCTGTACTTCCTATCAAAACTCTGCCCTCCTGATGTCCCTATCATTTCCTAATTCGGATATGGGACTTCTTTGTGATATCTGCCATGTCTTTGCGTCGTAGCGGTCGCACAGAAAAAAAAGTAAATACCGGAAAACTTTCCAAGATTCCTCTCTTGTTTGTTTAGCTTTCTGTCATTACACACAAGTACCAGCCTTGATTCTACCTAACAAGGTTGGGAAGATACTGACAGTAAACCCTGAACGTAGCAAGTAGAGAGTAAATGTAACGATTAGAAGCGACACTATACTATACAGAGTTCAACTCTGCTGTCTTTCCCAAAATTGGGTGCACATTAAAAACACATTATAGTCAACTTGCGACGGCCTGACAGGGCGTCAAGGCCCTGGATACGCCACCCGAAGAACTGACTCGTAATCCGTCATCATCCCTATAACAAGCATAATATTTGCCTTTCAGCACGCACGCACGCAACAAGATTGCTAATCCCTACCAAGGCTGTCGCCAACGACACATCCAATAACCTCGATCGGCCTTGGCAAGATCTGCGATGCGACTAACCAGGGTTCAATGATCCTTCGGCTGCAGTTGCGGTTACTTGTCACTTAGGCGCATAAATATTAATTCACCGGGTAACAATAGCCTTGTCACGTTACACAACCCCTGTTTCGTTTCTCATTCCTTGGACTTGGCTGTTTCTTTTTCGGCTGTTGTTTTTATGGCCACCATCTCTTGCACGCTGGGGTATTCCGCTATACCGCATGGCATGCATGCCGTGTAATATATGTCGCACTCCTGCATCTAGGGTTCTAGCTTGCACATGTGTCACCACACTTATGTCCTAGTAATGGATGGCTGGGATTCGTATTGTCTGATGTGATTTCACTGTTAGCCTGCATGCTGTCAATCTTATGATGTGATGGTACTGCCAGCAGTAATAGAAATTTTCCACCTGTTTAGACCTTGGCAACAGCGCGCCATTATCAAGTAACTACTAAACACACATGCCTTTCAATGAGTCGATATCTTAACAAACACTTCCTCGATAGCATCTCTTCAGTATTGTTGACAAAAAAAATGGAAAAAAAAGAAAAAGCAAAAATTGAGAAACAGAAAGTTAGAGAAGACACGATATAATCCAATTAATATCTCCCTAGAATGTGACTAATTTTATCGGAAATTGTTTCTCCCACGAGGATTTTTTTGACTAATGTCCAACACGTGATAGAAGAAGAATAAGACACCGTTTGCCCAAGAGCAGGAAAAGTGAGCCAGCATTTGAATATCTATGAGCCCATTCTCTTGACACAGCACGTGGATACCTCAAATCAGCCTAGATTACCAGATCTTAATTTCTGAAGAGTCCTCCAGCACGTGGCATAACTGCAGACCACACTACAAAGTCATATCATCATACTCAGAGTTGATTCCACCTCGACATGACTGCATTCTCGATCATTACCAGTTACCTAGATGACAGATCGTTATGACTCGTAGAAGAATATGACACCAAAAAGAAATTTCGATTCAGTCCCGATGTGTATATAGCTCCGATGCGTGTCTCCCTTCTCTTAATTCTTTTGGATCGATCGATTCTTCTCAAAGGTTTTGTTTTCAAGAGGCTAGTGTACTTTACAGACCAACAAAACTGTGACCAGAATTCTTGATCAAAAACTGTCGACAAGCAACTGGGAAGACGTCAAGGAAAGAAAAGTTCCTGTTTCCTCATCTACACTATATCTATTACGTCTGCAAAGTGGAATATAGCCACAAAGCGCAGCGAGTTCCGTACAGAATTATCCATCAGCGTACTGAGACTCTCATCTTTCAATAGAACGGAAAAAAAAATCACAACCGCATCGAGCCTGTAACCGTCTCAGGACTAGCCCTGCTTCTCCCTGGATCGATCTATATTAGCTGACTCGCTCCGGAACTTCTGTGTATGGATATCCTCTTTTATTTTCTTTTCTCTTAGTTTTTATTTCGCCAAACCCGTAATAGTAAGATCTCGCTGACATCTTTCATACTCGACAGTCTACATGAAAAATGTGCCGCCAAAGGATTGTATACTACGACAAATGCGGTTGCAAGTACCATTATCCTGTGAAGACTTGTCCTGAGTTTGATAACGGTCGGACAAGATGTCAAGTGGATAACATCGAGGTGCACGTGAATGGGCGTTGTCCAAACTGCCTGGAAGAGGAGAGAGAGAGAGAGAGGAGCAAGCAATCCAGCAGGAGAAAAGCAACGATAGTCGTTAATCTGCTCTGCTGCCACTGCTACGACTCCTCCAGCGGCCTACTATGAGTTGATTTATCTGAGGATGCGAGAGTGAACGTGAGGCTGAAACTGTATGAGTCTAGATGTCTATGTGTATACAGACTTTTAATCAAACTATTTTTCCATGAACACGATACGAACAGTGCTGTGTACTCTACAACCAGCATGCTAAGCCAATGACAGATGCGGTAACTATGGTTGAGAATGACTCTAAGTGTACTCGAGTAAACGATGACTCTATACATGTCACAGCATCCATCTAGCTCTGTCTCCGCTCGAGTTTAGCTCTGATTGAGAACAGAGGCGTTACAGTCAGAGTCCTGATAGCAAGCAAGAGTTTTGACCTAAAAAGGCTCAACCCACTTAAAGGACTGTAGTCTGCACCGTCGCAAGCTGTCTTAAAACAATACTTTTGCTTGTCCGCATAGCTGAACAATGTTTACAACATTCCACGAAAGAGAAAAGGATCCAAAACTCGAAAGCAACATGACGGCTGTATGAGTCACGGGCGTAGATGGTATCGCCGAGACGACATGAGAAACGAATTATAAAACAAATGAGAATACAGCAGAAAACAGAGCACAGAGTGTTGTAGGAGATAGATGAGGAGGTACTCCGAAGCTCCTCTAGGGAAGACAACCTGACAGGAAGTGCCATCTCGACGATATGGAGTACGATTCCAAGCTCTGTCTTCTGATCTGTAATCACATAGTACCTAAGGACACCCGATAATTTCCTCGCGATTCTGCAGTAACCATAACCAGGTAAATATCCCATCACAAGTCCAGGCAGTACACCTCAAGGAGCGAAGAACTAAAGACAAAAAAAGAACAGAGATCATCCTTCCACATGGATATGTAATGGCAAGATACAGCGCACCACTCCAATTACGTCTTCTTGTTTATCAATATTGTTAAAGAATAAGATGATAAAGAGACTCTTCGATTATGATTCCTATCTTATCTCACTTTGGCGAAAAACGTTCAGTTATGGCTGTTCCTGTCTGCATGGTTGTCCTCTTCCAGGCCAGGATTAATAATAAGCGTTCACTATGATAGATGATATTTTATCTTGCCACGAGGTTACCCAGACAGGCAAGTCGATAGTAATTAGACACCTGAGGCATCCGCCATACACAAGTCGTGGCCAAACCGCCAAGCCTTGGTAGCAGGCACGCAGTACAAAAAGAGACAAACGAAAAAAAGCCCGCTCCGCGCCTCGAACCCCCACCCCATCCCCAACACCCATCTCCTCCAAAAAACATCCTACCTCAAAATCAGCCCAGTAAACGATGAAAAAAAAACTGGTAGCTTCTCTTTGATTGAGCGTGTCATCCTTAGTGCAGGGGCCATGCTAATCTTCTCTGTATCGTTTCAAATTGACCAGATGCCCGAAGGCAGTTGAGGAGGTTTGAAATGATTTATAAGGAGTCCTGCGCGGGAGCTAGAAAATAAAAAGGGCAGAATGGAGGCGGGGATGCTGATGATTGGTTGGTTTGGTTGGGCGGTGGCGGTGGCGGAACATCGAATCTACAGAGTATGGAGTAACTTGGATTGTTCGGTTTATGCGCAGATACCTTAGGAACCAAAGACCTAGAAATTATTATTATCTCCCATTAATATTTATTGATTATAGGAAGACGGCAGCTTTTCTCTTCTTTCTTTGTTTTCTTTGTATCAGGTCTTGCATTTAGTTAAGTTAGATGCTTCCATGTCATTGACTGAGGGGATGGGCGCACGGTTTAAAAATATTTACTGCTGTTTGGCCCAGGGGTGGCTAGAAATAAACTGAGCGAGTCACCTACTGCCATATCACCAGATTATGTTCAGCTATTACCTGCTCTACTATTGCATGGGATCTGAAAGCGTAGTACTATATTACACGAACAAATTGTCGAAATGGGAGGCAAGAATTGATGCCACAGCCGAAAGAAAAAAAGAAGGATGACAATCGGCTACTCGAGTGTCTGTCGTCTACAGCAGCGCCATCAGCAAACCTGCTCCCACTGCAGACACCGAATACAACCCCACTTGCACCGCGTCCGACACGCCAAACGTCTGCCAGGCCACTCGGCCCGGTGCAGCACCCTTGGACGTCGCTCCGCCCGAACTGCCACCCGTCGCGGCAGCCGACGCGGACGCAGCGGCGCTGCTGGCGGACTTGAGCAGCTGGACGCAGCTTCCCGTCGGAGAGGCGGAACTCTGTCTCGTGGCGGAACCGCTGAAGTCGCACGCGGACGCCCCGTTGCCCTTGCTGCTCTGCTCCTGATAGTAGGCGTTGAGCGCGTAGGCCAGTCGTGCGGACGCGTCGCACCCCGAATACTCCCCGTACACGCCGGTTGTTCCGTTGGCGTTGATGCTCTCGCAGGCTGTCTGCGACAGGCCGCAGACGACGCCCAGCAATTCGCCCACGTCCTCATCGGCTAGGTTGGCCTTGGGCACGCACTCCAGCGTTGACGACATACAGTTGCACAGCTCCAGGTCCGGAGTTGGCGGCAGATTCGTGGCTGCCGCCCACGACGCGTTCTGCGTCGGACAGGGCAGGTTGGCGGTATTGCTGGGCTTGTAGTCGGCCATGTTTGTGAGACTGGGGCTGATCTTGGCCATCTGGCTCGAATATGCCGTGAAATCCGGCAGTTTACTGACACTTGAGCCGCTGACAGTGACGAGACCTATAGGTAGACGGATTTAGCCTGATTTCGACCAAAGCAAAACTGCCAAACCAGGCTTCTTACCATAGTCGTTGGTGTCCTGGAAATACATGTAGACAATTCCTCCCGACCAGACCCCCGTCATCTGGGGGCCGAACAGCACCGGCACGTCAGTGAACTCCCGTGGCCGCACGGTGTTGCAGCCATACTCGGAGAAGAAGACGGGGATATCGAACTTGGAGAAATCCTTGGTCCGATCGGCATAGCCCGACTGTTCAAAGGTGGAATTGCCACACCATTCGTAGATGTTGAGGCCCCAAAAATCGGCCCGCTCGTCGTCACTGCCGCAGTCAAAGTAGGCTGAGACCTGCTCGCGAATCCAAGCGTCGTCGTCGGCGGCATAGCCCACCGGGATCGCGCGATAGTTCTTCTGCTTGATGTAGGCCTTCATGTCCCGGATGGCGGCCTTGACAAAGGGACTGGCGCCGGTCGTGAGGTTGCTGTTGGTCACCTCATTACCAGCAAAGAAGCCCAGCACGTTGGTGTAGTTGGCCAGGGCGTCGATGACAGACGTGTACCGGTTGTACAGATCGGTGTCCCAGACGGGCGAGTCGCGATTGATCGACTGCGAGGGTTGCGAGAGATCGGCAATCAGGTAGATACCGGCATCTGCAAGCATGCTCATGCACTCGCTGTGGTCCTGGTCGGGATTGATGGAGTAGACGCGCACGACATTGGTTCTCAGTTCTTTCAGCAGAGGGATATCGCGCTGGCAGCCCGCAGGATCGGTCAGCGGATCGACGTAGGTGGTGTCAGAGCTGGTGTTGTTGGTGTCGGAGGCTAGATGATCTTGTGAGTAATCGAAAAAGCACAAATGATTAATTAGGTCGATCTACCTTGATACGCGACTCCCTGGATGAAGCTGGGAGAATATTAGCGATAGACCATATACAGCAGGAGTCGCACTGACAATTCGGTTCCATTCGTCTTGTAGAAGAAGTGAGAGCCCTGCCGTGTTGTCAGACAGGATCCAAGTTAAGTTACTCTTGGGAGGCTGCCTGCCTACCTTGATCACAATGGGGTCGACATCGGTGGCATACGAGCCAGCAAACAGGCTGCAGGCCGCGACGAGCGACGCAGCCCACTGGACAGCCTTCATGACTGCAGAAAACGAGCGGAAGGGTAAATATGATCGTAATCTAATTCAAATAGCAGTGCCTGCAAAAGAACGAGAAAGAAGTTGGAAAGGAAAAGGACTGCATTGCAACGGGGTCATGACTCGTTGGCGGAAATGCCAGGACATTTATTTATGCCGACCGGCTATGACTGGGAAAACGGCCAATTGACCTGCTGGATAAGTTGTTGGGTGGCATCGCGGTCACACAGGCTGAATGCGATGGCGGCCAGCAGTTGGAGGGCAATCCCTGTTAGGCTGCGATCAATAGTCAGTCGGCGGTTGACCTATTTCGGGAGCAAGGCTGGTTCGAGGATGCTGCCCGGCAGTCTGGGGCGAAACACGCTATCGATCGAGGGCCTTTTAGGCGAGCTGGTGAATCGGAGAGCCGCCGGAAAGCAGCGATACGCCGCTCGCCTGCAGATGGCGGGGCGATTGGGCTGTTCTGCGACAGCTGCCATCGGGATTGCCGGCATGACTGTTCCCCAGACCAGGGCACAGCCTCGACAACGAGTCACCAGCTGTCCAGATATCAATTCGATGCCACTTCAAGCAGAGCATTATTATTGTTCTGTGGTGATTGTAGCCCAGTTCTGCCTCAGACTGACCTATTTCGGTAGTGATAACACAACAACAGAGCTAGTGCGCACCGATTGGGAAGTCAACTTGATCGGTCTTCAGGCCGACCGCCGTTAGTCCAGCTCCAAAGGATGTTACCCTACTATCTGCTGAGCTTGGTTAGATTCTGTTTCTTCGGCGTATCTAAGCTCATCTGTGACATCACTAATCCGTTTTTTTATCTGGCCATATTCACACCTGGTCTCTTCCTCGCCTTTAATTTATCTTGGACGCAGTTTTTATCTGATACCAGTCAGACGACAGAGACGTCTTCCAGAACTATGTGTATTGATATTCTCCTAAGTAAGAGCTTGGACTATGACCTTATCGTGACCTCGATTTGTATCTTGATATCGAACAACAAAAAAGAAAGGTCAGTCGAGGCATAGTGAAACCGAAACCAGATCTCTGCGAGTGTCATTTCATTTCTTTTCTTTTTCATTTCTTTCCTTTTTCTCGTCTTCCTTTATTTTCTCTCTATTTTTTTTTGTTAGTAGACACTGGGTATGGTAATATTCATTAGAGAGATTCAAAAACAAAATCCCCAACATGGAGACCACAACAAAGGACTTTTCCTACCTTTCTTACCATTTCTGGATGACTGACAGAATGGTAGCGTTGAGAATCGCCGGTCCTCCCGAGGGTAAGCATTGCACTCGCAGTTGTCCACTTACAGAGAGTCGAGTACAATGCGGCTCACTCGGGCTTTCGACCATACACGACATAGCTAGCAAACAGTTAGCTAGATGGCAGAGTAGAAAGGGTAAATAAAACAACTCACAAGTCAACCAATGCGTGGATATTGGGATTTTTTAAATCGTTGCTGGCACCAGCTGCCAGCACTGTCACTTCCTCGGGCTGCCACGATTCAAATCTCGTCAGTACCGCCATGGCAGCTGCCTCGAACCCCTCCGAGGCGGATACGCCAGCCCAGGTCCCAATTTCCTTCTGATCTGAAGTTAGTCACCGTTAGAGGCAAAATACCTCAGTACCATCGCATACGTAGTATGGATCTTTGGGCCAGGGTCCCAGTGGCACCCGATATTTCTGAACATGGATATCCACAAAACCTGCCTCACGGAACCATTCTTCCAGGTGCGGGCCTGGTCTGGTGGGATACCCTGCTTTCTCAAACGCATTTATGACCTCTGTGTAATACTTCTCAATTGCTGTGCCTTTAATGCTTCCATCCTCGGACCTTATCTGGGCGTCCCAGTCCTGAAACTCTACCCAGCCTCCCGGCTTGGTACAATTGAAACACTGCTTCAACAACTTCCGGAAATCCTTGATAGAGTAGCATAGGTAGCGCGCATGGATGAAGTCGAATGGAGTATTCTCATATGCCCATTCGGCTTCAATATCATCAACGAGAAATTTCAGATTGGGCGGGACCCTGCAGGAGCATTCCTTAATACTTGTTCGACAGAGAAGGGATTTTCACTAACATCGTTGGCTGAATAGGACTTAGATCGTTACCGATGACCTGGGATATCTTAGCCAGATGCTGAATCTGCGGTATGAGGGACACCTACCTCTGCAGAGGGATACTGATCGGCTACAACATGGGTGAGTCTCTGGATGTTGCAGGAGTTTAGTCAACTTCGAGTCCAGTTAAATGGCTTACCAAAATCAATTGCCCATATTCCAGTTCCAGTCGCAAGGTCAAGCACTCTCTGCGGTGCCGGGCCAATAGGTGCAAGAAACAACTTTCCCCCCATCATCTTTACTGTCAGCTCGTGCGCCAGGTCCAGGCGCTCATTCTCCTTCTCATCATTCGGTAAGAGGTAACCTTCCAGCAGAAATTAGCGAGACTGCAGAAGTTTTGGCACTCCCTAAGGAGTGGCCCTTACTGCCATCACGGTAAGCATGGTAGCGCCTGCCATTCTCATGCCGGTAATTGAGCACAGAAGAGGTCAAGGAGGCGCTATAGGTAGAGCTGACAGATATCAGTCGTATAATCACGGTAAAGGTCGAAAAAGTGTCACCAACAGCTCGTTCCCATAGGCAGAATCATTTGCAGTAGCCTGAAATCGATTCATTAGAGTCATGACCAGCATGCCAAGGAATGGAAACTCTTGCGGCTTTTTTTTTTGTGACGAACCTGATCATCCACTTCGATGGCAGTTTGAATATGATGATCATTCTGTGATGCAGGGTTGTTTCGTGCTGGAGATTCTGCCATTGCTAAAGATGAGTTTCGATGATAGTACAAAAAAAATGACACAGGAGGGAGATCTCACTGAGTGGGACGTGAAAGTGCCATGCGAATATGGCTCTTAGAGAAGAACGCTCTGGAATCGAGTTGCTGCTTTTTATAACCAACATGCCTTGCCTTTTTACCTTTAGCCGGACGCCAATCAGATCCCTGTCAACATCATCGCTATGATTCGTTGACTACCCCCTGTGATCTCAGAAGGTTGTGATCGAGTTATCGAAACTGCATTAGTGGCACGCCAAGGGAAAATATTAACATATGATGATGCACAGACCCGAAAAATAGAAGTTTGAAGAAATTTCTTTCCTCATTCTAGCCAACCCATCTCCGACTGTAAATGAGGTAATGGGCAACGGATACGGTGCCGCACTGGAAGACCAGACAGGAAGGTGGTTAGCTGTCGCATGTCGCTGTCAATCGTACCTTCCTCGTGGAAGAGCGACCCCGCAATCATGGAACCCCATGTTGTGTGGCCCTCGTCGATGATGATAAAACGATATCGGATTTTCTGGAAACCCTGTGCCTTGACGGAAGAGATGCTATCCAGATGCCGCGAAAGGAGGGACTGGCAAGCTATTCGAGATAATTCGATTAGTATTATCAGGTTCTAGGAGTTCTGGAAACAACGATCTTACCATGAAGCAGCAAGTGGTCCCATAGAACAAAAATAATGTATTCATCCAAATTATAAAGGCTTAGTGGAATGAAGCGTCATCTGAAGCAAGCTTGAATTGTGGGAGAAAGGAGGCATGCTCAGGTGCCTATATAGAGCCCTAGCCCCGTGCCCTAAGCCCTGGGTCTAATTGCCGACTCTTTCTGTTGGGGTACATAGAACGTGAGAGGCCGAGTTCTGAATTAATAGTTGCTTTTTAAACTTCATCTGCTTCACTACCTAAATAGAAAACGTAGATTCTCGTGGGCCAGCAGGGATCCAAGAAGCCGCGAGTTTCACAATTAAAATATCATCACACACCTCCCTTCCGTCCCAAGTAGATCTTTTACTCTATCATTCCCAATCCCAAGAAATGCTCAATTGACTGCACAGCCTCCACCATGCCCAAAGCAATAACACTGCCATGGCTGTACTACAAGAGAAAGGTGCAGATAACGTCTTGCGTACAAAATAATAATAATAATGCCAACTGTTAATTGTTCAAATCGGAACAGGCTACCCTGACTCGATAAGAAATGGAGAATGCTCCAGTGCCACAATTTGGTGCCCGGTGTTGGTCGGGAGATATTATTCGCTGGGCAACCTTAAATACGAGCCTCAATCTGCTTCGACTGAACCTCAAAATTATCAGGACTAAAGTCCCAGGTTTGTGGGGGAAAGAATCTTGGTACAGAGTACAAGAGTGTGAAAGGGAAGTGACGTTGCTGGAGACAAACACGACCATTATTATTGGTATCACGGGAGCAAACAAAATAGGGAGAACAGAGTACAAACACAGTTCAAACATGCGCAACACCACAGTTTTTATGCTAGCCATACATATCGTAGGACAGAGATCTTGACGAACATGCTGATCGTCTTCTCAGCTGCGGCTGATAATCAGGCGAGCCATCTGTCCGCACACCATTGTAATTCATTTAAGGTGGGCGATATCCAAACGCATGTGGAGTTTCAGGGTCCAGTTGGCCGAGGGCACCAATGAGCGAGCGAGGGACCGTCCGCTCCCCACATGGCTTGGCAGCCGCCGTGGTCCAGATCCAAGCCCTGTGGACTGCCCCACACCACAGCGACCCAATCATCTGCCGTGGAGAATTGTTAGAAGGTGAGCACGCGAGCATGCTGGACCCTGAGGTTTCAGAGTCATACTCGGTACGGAGTACATGCACACCATCGGGAGTGAAAAAAAAAAATTGAAAAAAGAAATTCGATGTAAAATTCAGCATTTAAAATCAAATCTCTTAAAATCTAGCGTGTATAAACAGCGGTTTATAAACAGAAACTACTCCGTAATCACTTCCTCTTTAACTCCTCGGGTTCTATTTCTGGCGAGGCTGGATTCGACCCTGGCCAAACTGGGGCTATGAACCAACAATAATCTATGGCAGTGCTTCCGTGGCAGGAGAGGACGTTTCAACATCTTTAATCGCGCACCATTGGACTACCGTTGGATTCCCGTTACTTTTTCATTTTTTGCAGGATGTGAAGCCTTAGCTGTTCATAAACGGTTTTTTTTCCAAAAATCTGGTTGGTCCCGTATGGTCTTATGGCACCGCCCCGGCCGACCCAAACGCCCAATCTGCATTCGATCAATTACCCGGTAATAATGTGATCATTATCCGCTGTGGAGTGGGGGTTGTTCCTGGCGGTGCTACCTCCGCTTTGGGAAGTTGGGCGCTCAGCGGTACCTGTTCAGGGTCCAGCTCCGGTGCGGCTCCAGTAAATGTCGCTCTTGATGTGACATTCCCCGGATTATTCGTCCCCTTCCCACGTCCTCGTGTCCTTCCCTACATTATTGTTAGCCCCCATCCCTCTCCTAGTGGTATGTTCTCTGGTCTCTTATACCCTCTCTTCCTGTCTTTTTCTCTCTTTCATTCTTTCTGCTTGAATACCTAGCTATCCAATGGCTTCTTGCTTATAGTCTCTCGGTCAGACCTTTCGAGGACTCCTTTCGGTGAGAAAAGGGTCTTCGACTTCTTCCAGTTTACAGCCAAAGGTAAACCCTGATTTATGGGGTAGGGTGGGTCATACAGTCACCTGGAATGTGATATATCCAGGGCTGGAATGTGCAGCATTTCCTCGTGACAGAATCCATCCGGAGTCCTATCTTGCTCATGCCGTGGCCTGGTTGAAATCGTCTTGGATTGCTTTCACTCCCGAGCCATCATGCTCGCAGCGGCCTTCAATCGCAAATTTCTCTACGCCCTGACGGTCGTTGCGCTCCTCTGTGCAAAACTCCTCCATGTCTTCTCCCATCTGCCTAGTACCGCCATTCCGCTCTTTGTGCTCTATTTTCCGACTTTCTTTACTCCCGACGTCATTGTCGTCGTCACCTCGCGGCTCCTCTTTCAGCGGTCGTTGATTGTGTCGTTTTTAATATGGTATGATCACCAGTCCCAAATTCAATACACCTGCATCTGACAGTGGCTGGTGCCCAGTCTCCTCATCACCTTTGGTTCCGCGGCCCAGGTGGGCCTCTTCATCGAAACAGGCGGCGAGCTGCGATGGTCGATGCTGATGAAGGTATTTCGGGAACCGCAAGGCTTCTTCGGCATGCTCTTGACTGGCCTGTTGCCTACATCCTGCTTCATCGCCGTGTTGGCCTTCTTCGCTTATCTGCTCACCCCATCCTTGTATAATTCGGTTGGCCGTATGATCGACGCGTGTCTTGTCACGATTTTCCCACGATGTTTTCGACCGGCCAGACAATCGCCTGGAGAGTATAGACTCGTGAGTATGGAAGAAGGAGATGAGGAGGAGAAAACACCAGAAGAGTCGGGGATTGTCACCAAAATCACTTGGGCGAGAGTCAAATTGGCTACCGTCGTTGGAGTGCTGCTGGTGCTCCATCTCGTGCGACCCCGGAAGCCGTTCGATCACATGACAACCACGCTGCCCTTCACCATACTCGATGCTATTTTTCAATCTCGCAGTCCCATGTGCGATCCGTCTCCATGGGACGGTCCCAAGCGGTTTCCTTATCAGGATCTGATTCGGGACGACCTGTGGGTTCCGCCAACAGAAGACGGGAAACGAGGATGGAAGCCCGGTTCGCCATGGTGGGAGGTGATCAGAGAACGGCCGTCCTGGCTGCCTCCAGAACCGATGCCGGGCTTTGCCAAATGGTACCGGGGATCTAGTTTCCAGCTGCCTCCTGATCAGAAGCCAGGTCAACCTCCTCCTTTTCCTACTTCCCATCCTGGACGTCACTTCCATCCACCGCCACATGAGCATCCACCGGACGAACATGGGTCGCATGGACACCATAATGAGCACCATGTGTCGTATGAAAATCACCCCCCTGGCTATGACGGTGTGCTGGACCCTCTGAAAATCAGCAACGCGGACGAACCGCTAGTGAAGGAACTACAGGACATGCTCCATCAGAAGCAGGGAATGCCAGAGATCAGACATGTCATCATCATGAGCCTGGAGTCAACGAGGAAGGATGTTTTCCCCCTCGTCAAGGACGACAGTCTCTACCGCCAGCTTCAGCAGTCCTGGCGAAAATATGAAAAACGCGATGACTCCAAAAGAGCCGATTTATCACAGTTATCCGTCAACGCAGAGATCGTGACTGGCCAAGATGCTGGCTTTGGCAGACAGATCAACACCACCCATGGCGGCCTCAACGTGATGGGCGCAGTCACCAGCAGCACGTTCACCCTCAAGTCCCTTCTCTCGTCGCACTGTGGCGTCAACCCTCTCCCAGTCGACTTTCTCGAGGAAGTCGAGACCGAAATCTACCAACCGTGTCTGCCTCAGATTTTAAAGGTTCTGAACGCACAGAACCGGTCGGATTCCACATCATCCTGGAGACAGGCTCCCTGGCGGAGCGTCTTCATGCAGGCTTCGAGCAGCGCGATGGATCGCCAGATGCAGCTGATGGAGCAAATGGGCTTCGACAAGGTGATTGACCGCGAGGTCCTCCGGAACGCCAGCTCTGAGTTCCACGTGACAGGTCCCGAACTCAACTACTTCGGATATTCCGAGCGGACGTTACGACCGTATATACGCAAAGCCATTGTGGATGCAGAGGAGAAAGGAGACAGGCTGTTCCTGTCGCATCTCACCTCCTCGACTCACCACCCCTGGGCGACGCCGGAGGAGTTTGGAGAGCAGGAGAATTACTGGGGAGATAGTCGAGCGGGCGACTCGCCGTGGAATCGATATCTCAACACCATCAAATTTGCTGATCAGTGGGTGGGAGAGGTATTGCAGCTCCTCCAAGAGCTGGGGGTAGCTGAGAAGACCTTGCTGGTGATACTTGGTGATCAGTATGTTATTCCTTTCTCGATTTTTTTTTCCCCCTTCTCTCTACCTTGCCAGGGATATGCAGACTGACGATGGCAGCGGCTTCTCGTTCGGCGACGAGAAGTCCTCGATGACAACCACCTACGCCAATCCGCACATTTCATCCTTTTCCATTCCCCTCGTCTTCTACCATCCTCTACTCCCGCGCATGTCTCTCAACGCGACAGTGACACCTCTATCCGTCCTCCCCACGATTCTTGACTTGCTAAACTCAACAAACTCGCTCGACTCCGCTGCGAGTTCTGTCGTCAAAGATTTAATTCCTGAATACGAGGGCCAGTCACTGATCCGCCCTTTCATCGCCCACCGCGACGGGCGTCAGGCCTGGAACTTCGGCGTCGTCAATCCCGGCGGGACACATCTCTCACTGACCTCCGCCGCGTACCCTTCCTACCGGTACGTGCTTCCGATCTGCGAACCAGCGCCCTTCAGCTTCTCGCATCTGAGCCTCGATCCGAACGAAGCCGTCCCCATTCAAGACTGGGAAGGCGGCAAGAAGATAGCGATGAAAGTGCGACTACGATACGGTGAGGAGGCTGCCCGCTGGGTGCGCAAGGCGGACAACATCGGGCGCTGGTACGTGTGGGAGGCGCGACGGCGGTGGGGGTATTGGAGTGGCAGCCGCCAGGAAGACCGCGGCATCGGACACAGGGAAGATGGCGTGCTGAAGCATGACCGTTGGTGGATTCCATAGCCATTTGAATCTCGACGGAGCGGCGTTCGGAGTTTCTGGATGCAGACTTTACTGAATGTATCTATCTCTGTACCACACCTTTTTTTTTGGTCTTGTACAGAGTGGTTATCTCCGCGGAATGCACTGTACATACATAATTTTGCATAGGGTTCATAGACCGGGAAAACATGCATTTCACATCTCACGAGGGATAAGTAGGGGGTGTTTTATATTTTCCTCTGTACATAGTGTAAAAACACAACGTATGTGCTCCAAAATCTAATCCCCACGGAACAGAATATGGAGATTATTATTGCTTCAGCCACATTCAAGTTGGATACGCCTATAAAACATTGGATCAGTCACCTAATAGTTGCTGTCATCGCCCAGTAATCCTTTGAATACCCGAGATTTCCTGATTTAGAAATTTGTTTGAGCATCGTTCCGAGATATCCACATGGAGCTCCTCTCATTGGCCATCAGATTGGAGAACGTGGGGGACTCGACTGGCGGGAAGATCGACAGAATCCATGCGACAGCCAAATCAAATCAAGCATTTTGATCTCTATCATGGACGGGACAACTTACAAGCGATGCTTTTCTTATCGCCCCCAAAATCTAATCTAGCCGTCCTTTTCTTACCTAGACTGCTTATTATTACTCCGCCCGGCGATGCAACGTCACCATGTCATTCGCGACTCTCCCGTTGGCCGATCTGGGGACTTGCTCCTGATCGTCATTGTCAGAGTGGGGATAATATGTCGCATTATGTATAGGGTTCAGAAAAGCGCAAATTCAAATGACTGATCGTCGAAGTGCAAATCATAGACCCAGTTATATATATAGCAGGTACCGGATCCAGTCTTGTTCTCTCTATTCCTTCGTTCCTGTCTTGTCCCCTCTGTTGTTCCAGTTTATGCAATCTGATTAGTATAAAATCGAATTGACATTTACACAATGAAGGTCTCCTCCCTGGCCCTGCTGTCCCTCTTCTTGTGGACCACGTCGGCCTCCGCCGCTGCTACTGTCTACCTCATCCGCCATGGAGAGAAGCCCTCCAACGGCAGCACCGGGCTGAGCGCCCAGGGTGAGCAGCGCGCGCAGTGTCTGCGGAACGTGTTTGGCGCCAAGTCATCATATGACATTGGCTATATCATGGCGCAGACGCCCAAGTCTGGTACATACAATCTCTCTACTCTCTCTCGACGGAAATAAACCGGCTCTTGGCTGATGATTCATCATAGATGGCAAACAGGACCGTCCCTACGAGACCGTCGAACCTCTGGCTCAGGACCTCGGCCTGAAGATCGACACTTCGTGTGACCGCGACGATCCGAAATGCGTCAAAAAAGTCGTCGACAACTACTCTGGGCCGGGAAATATCCTCATCTGCTGGGAGCATGATGCCCTGACGGATATTGTTAAGAAACTGGGTGACAAGAATCCGCCAAGTTATCCTTCTGATCGGTAAGGAAAACTAGCCACCAACCGTCAATCATTATCCGGTCATGGGAACGGAGATTTTGAGCTCATGCTAATAACGTCATTTTCTCGGCTCATAGTTTCGACCTCATCTGGACGGATCCTTCCCCGTATAACAATATCACCTCTATCACGAGCGAAAACTGTCCTGGCCTGGACGATTAGATCCCTCCGATTGAATATGATCGTATCCGGTCGTGTTGGATTTCGATGGAGATGGATGCGGTTGATAATCGACCAGAGAAACGATATATATATATACTCGACATGACTCACAGCTATAGGCCTGCATTGGGAGGCCAGTTTTCTGGGACCAGATGGTATGTAGTATGTACTGTACATACAGTCAAGAGGTTGGTAGTACTGTACATAAATTGAAGTCAATGACAAGACCTACCGGCAGAGAATGGAGAGAAGAACTGGGTCAAGAAACAGAAACATAGTAGACGCTTCTTGGGTCCTTTTCAACGGCAAGGAGGACTTGGAGTCATATGGCAGAACGCACGTCATTCCGCTGGCTAGAAGTTATTTCTGATTATTTTACAAGGGAGAATATGGGATCTTCTATAGTATAGGCGTAACTACAGCCAACCCATGCTCAGGGCCTCTCTATCCAACTAACTACAGTGCTGTTAGGATGAGAAATGACCTTCTCTCAAGGGAGGAATCATCCTCAGAACCATACTACCAATAGTCTCTATCAATATATGCCCTCCACGAGGCCTCAAAAATTTGTTCGAGACAAAATATCGTATACCTCCCATAACCCAAGGGTAAACAGTAGTTCGAACCTGCTCGTAATCGACAGCTTCATGATTAATTCTTTATATAAATAGCATAGGTAGGATAGCAAGGAGTCGACGACATTCGTTGTTATTATTACATCTGTCCAGAGTATTGCTGGCTGGTTTGATTTTTTTTTTCGATTTTTCACAACAGGATGGCGTTCGGAGTTATTCTTTCCCCCCTTTGATTCTCATTGATAGGTTTTGTCCATGGACGGTTGTCTCCATAGGTAGAGGGGAGTTGTCAGTGTTTGTCGGAAAGAGCCTAGACCGCACTCGACAAGTCACGTTTTCTGGATCGCATCACGGCTGCCAGGAACAAAGGAGCTGCGATACTCTGACATCGTGCTGGAGGAAGATCGAATTCGTCATTCGTCGTCTGTGGCATTCGCAGGAGGAATTTTCATATGAGACGGATTGTCCCTCCATAACCAGCAAGGATCCATTGTCGTGACGTAAGCTCGATTCCTGACTCGTCTCCATTTCTGTCCTCTTCTCCCACGTATTCTCCGTCATATAAGTCGTTTTTTGCTCGTTGAATCTGTACAGAAATAGGCAACTCGATTGGTAAGGTCATTCATCTCTCTGTGAATAAATAAATAATGCGATACTTTGATGTGGTACAGATATAGGAACGATTCACGCACTCATAACGGTTTTCCCTACAGTCTATCTTTTCGACTCTCAGAACAGGCATTCTCTCTCATTATCGCATATACTAAAGACGATGCCATGCAAAGCAAGATCAATAACAGCTCGCTAATCAATCCAATATGATTGGCTGGCTGTTTTTTCATCCGGCGCTCCGACAACATCTTCGCGTTGTCTGATTGGCGGACGGCGCACCCGCAGCAGCAACGCCGATCAATTGGATGTGGAGAAGTGCTGGACAGACGCTGATTGGCGGACAGATGCGAATCTGATCCTGTCGTGTGCTCAACTCCCTGTTACTTTGGTAGCTCCGAGCCTAATCGGAACAGGCTGGACTGCAGCGAGTCGTGACCTCAGCCTGCGGCAACCCGCAACTCCGCCTCTCCGGAACCCCCCGGAGGCTTTTTTTTCCTCCCAGCAGGGCTTGGCTTGGCTGTCGATGGGAACTTACCCTTCTCTCCAACAAGCCGTATCCTGCTTTCTTGGTACCTTCCGCTTAATTTGGGTCATGCCGAAAGTATTATTTCCGTCCTCACGAGCGTCGCCAGCAGCAGCCCTGTATCGCCGCCATGACGAAGAAACTCGAGCGGGAGGCGAGCCCCGAGTCGTTCGATAACGAGGCTGGTACTGCGGCGGAGGAGATCGGCCTCATTTCGCAGGACTACCGCGACAGTCGCCAGTCGCGACGACGCGTTTTCGATCGCTGGATCACGCACACCTGGACGGACCTGCAGAAGCTGGGAGAGACCGACATCCTCAAGCGGTTGCTCATCACCGCGGTGTTTGTCGGCCTGTGGCATTTTTTCTCCCTGTCCATCTCCATTGTGAGTCCCTCTGCGCTGGTCTGAAGAGCGGGGGAAGACTGACTGACTGAGCGACAGTATAATAAATGGATGTTCTCAGGCGATGCCATCGTCTTCCCCTTCCCGCTCTTCATGACCAGTCTCCACCAGGCCGTGCAATTCGCCCTCTCCGCCGTCCTGCTCTCCCTCGTTCCCTCCCTTCGCCCTCGTCGCACGACGCTGCCGCCGTCGACTGTGCTCCCCGGTGGAGATCCCCACGCGGGGATCAGCATGACACGATTCTATCTGACCCACCTCGTGCCCTGCGGGGTAGCCACGTCGCTGGACATCGGGCTGGGCAACATGTCGCTGCGCTTCACCTCGCTGACCTTCATGACCATCTGCAAGTCGTCCGTCCTGATTTTCATCCTCCTGTTCGCCTTCCTCTTCCGCCTCGAGACCGTCTCCGTCAGGCTCGTGCTCATCATCTCCGTCATGACGCTGGGCGAAGTGATGATGGTCATGGGCGAGACGGCGTTCAGCGCGGTGGGGTTCGGCCTGGTGACGGCGTCCGCGTTTTTCTCGGGCTTCCGATGGGCCCTGACCCAGATCCTGATCCTGCGCCACCCTGCGACATCGAACCCGTTCTCGATGCTCTTCTTCCTCAGCCCGATCGTCTGTGTGACGCTGGGCATGATCGCCCTGGCGGTGGAAGGGCCAGCGGAGATCATGCAGGGGTTACACAGGCTGTCGACGGCATGGGGCGGCCTGACAGGGCTGTCGCTGCTGCTGCTGCCAGGGATTCTGGCCTTCTGCATGGTACTCTCGCAGTTTGCGCTGCTGAAGCGCTCCTCGGTCGTCACGCTGAGCGTCTGCGGGATTCTCAAGGAGGTGGTGACCATCAGCGCGGCGGGCGTCGTCTTTCACGACAGGCTGACTTTTGTCAATGCCTGCGGCGTGGTGGTCATCATCGGCAGCATCGCGGCATACAATTACATGAAGATCTCGCGCATGAGGCGCGAGGTGCAGACGAAGCTGATGAATGAGAAATATTCATGAGAAATATGACGGACAGACAAAAAAGATTTACGAAATTTATACGATACGTAACGATAGTTCTGTATCTAATCGAGGAGCGAGAAATATATATATATATATACACTCTATATACCCTGTATAATGACTCGCGTGACTCATCATTCATTCACCCGTCTTCCCTTGCAAATCGCTGCACATAGCTTGCAAATAAACTAGCCCAGATCGACCATGATCACATATCATATCTGGCAATTAGCACTCGAGTTACGTCTTCTACTCCGTATGAATTCCTCGCACGAAAGTGTCAGACGGGTAAAAAAGGTATGAGTATTATACCGAATAAGGTAAGTCCCTACTATACCTATAGCATGGATGATTGAGTCCCGTAAAACCTGATCATCAATTCATTGGAGAGATTGGCATCAACTAGTGGCAGACAGTGAAATATATATATATATATTTTTTTCTCTTCTTTTTTTTCGCTGGCGACAAGCTCCGTACTACGTAACAGACAAGAATGAAAAATTAATTCTGAGTGAGCGAGTGATTGATATAATTTGATTGATTTATTGATTATTGATTTATTAATTAATTTTCGACTTGATACCAGTTCACGGTAATGACAACGCCAACAAACTCCTTAAAAAAAATAAAAACCCCCTCTAAATGACGACCCAACTTGCATCCAATCTACTGCCACTACTCCAACACAGGCGGATTCCTAGCAACATACTCCTCAAACACCGTGGGCTTACTACGCACATTACTCAACGTCCAGTCCACCGCGTCCTTCGTCTTCGGGCCAAAATATCCCACATCCTGGAAATACAGCAGCATCTGCACCAGATGGTCCGCGCCATGCGGGGGCAAGAACCCACGGAAGACGGTCTCGGACAGTTGGATGTATCGCACCGTCTTGCCTGTCACTTTGCTGATGATCTGCACGATTTCCTCCATCGTGTAGAGCCCCGCTGCGGACGAGAGGACTTTGCCTTCGTATCTGTCTGGTTCCGCTAGGATGGTGCCGACGAATTTGCCCGCGTCGCTCGCGATGTCGATCAGAGGCAGCTGCGTCGTCGGAGCGGCCACGGCGGCGATGGCGTATGTGCCGTCGCCTACCGGGCGAGGAGCCATCATCCCGCTGAAGTTCTGCATGAAGGACCCGGGCGCGAAGAAGGCGCTCTTGATCGGTAATACTGTGCGGATGTACTCCTCCACCTCGGCCTTGGCGTCGAAGTGGTCGACCTTGGAATATTTCCCGCCTGAGTATTTCCCCGCGTGCGGCAGGGTGCTGAAGATGTAGTACTGCACTCCGGCAGCCACGGCGGCGTCGGCCAGGGCCTTGCCCTGTCGGACCTCCCTCGTCTTGGTATGCTCGTCGTAGATGGTCGTCGTCACGGCGAACACGGTGTGCGCGCCTTGCATCGCCCGCTTGAGGGACTCGATGTCATCCGCGTCGGCTTGCACGACCTCAATGCCTTTCTGCTGGAGGGCCTGCGCGGCAGGTTTGGATAAGTCGCGAGTCACGCCGCGGAGCTTGTACTGCTTCGATAGCTCCGGGTCGCTGATGACGTAGTTGGCCACGGAGCCGCCCTGCTGGCCGGTTGCTCCAAAGACGACGAGGAGCTTTGACATTGTTGTGAAGGTGGACTGATGGGTAAATCTTCAGCACTCTCTCAAATTATCCAGTATCTTTAACCTTGTGATTCCCGCACAAGAAGCCGTCACGCCCATCCCTAAAATACCCCCCCGCCAAGCAGACTTTCAGACTTTCCCACCAGTCCATGTTTGTACGGTGTATACAAAGTTAGAGGTAAGTTAAAGCCGATCCGAAAAAAGCGCATAACTCCGGCCCGGAGGCCCCTCGATCGGTGGTCCATCGACGGTCTAGGGCCGTGCCAGAAGCTTGAGATCCATGGTACAGTACAAATTTTCCCTAGGAAGGCAAAAACGGTGCATTTGGCGGGTACCGACAGATCGACCTAGGTACCTAGGTATTTACTCCGTAAGGTGTTGTCAGGCATGATGCAATCAGAAGCGCGTAAGGCCGTAAACTCTGTCGACGCGGTCCTCGCGGCTTCTTCGGAAGGGCACCTTAAGTCTGTTTGAGAATTTGACTGGATATTGTCCTCCTGTCAAGGGAACCCCATGCTGCTGCTGAGACAGACACGTTCGACTCGTTGACCTGTCGGTCAGCTAATACGCCAAGCCTGGATGCGTATCTCACAGGAGCTGTTTGTTGTTCATCTGCTTTGGGGGACTAGCTTCGTCATCTGTTTGAACGGACGATCGACATGCTTGCCTTGCTTGATCGATTGGAATCCAGCTTTCCTGACTCTGCACTCTGCACTCTAATCAGTAAGAATCGGTGTCGGGATGACCTGGTTCCGTTGGAAGCAGAACTTACTAGACAACGCATTTGCAGATTCGCTAAGAAGCGAATGACATGACATGCCTTTTTTTGGGCAAGCTTGCAGCAGTGTCGCTGCTGATGGGAAATAAAATATTTTTCAGTCAGTAGAACAAGAGATCGTGTCTGTGCAGACAGGTCAAACCTACATATGCCGTGTCGAGTGCTAGGTAGCTTATTTGAATCCATTGACACTGATACTCTGTGCGTCCATCTCTGGCGGAGGACCGACCATGTGAAATACTCACGTGAACTGCTGATTGATTGGAGTTTTGAATATGTACTGTACACGCCCATTCGATTACGTTCGTATCGAGGAAAGTGTCTCTGATTTTTTACTTATTCTGAACTCGACTGAGGCTTACGTGGGACATGTTCAAGGTCCCTGCGTGTACAAATAACGTACTCTCTATCCTACGTGGTTCGCCTTTTTGGCCAGCCATCTAAGATTCTTTTCTTTACGGATAGTATGACAATTCCGTGACCATCAGACGTGATCATTCAATGCATTATTAATTCTATCTCCTAACACGGTGCAGGTCAATTCGTCAACCAGCATTTTCACCATCATAGTGATTACCATCACCGTTCAACCGTTGTTGGCTGGGTTGACCATGCAGTAGTCAAGGTTGTGGATCGTCGTGTCGGGATTGCCAGCCCAGGTCCTGTTGGTAAGACTCGTCAGTAAAAATTGCTTGCAGCGAACGGCATCTAGGATACGGATGGGGTGAACGCACGGGAATGGGTGCGGCGGGCCACCGTCACCAAACACGGCGAACGTCAGGATAAAAACGCAGACCTGCGTGCCGCCATCCAGCGCCGCCGACACGATGTAGTTGTACTTGTTGAACAGGTGCGGGTGGTACTTGCGCAACCACCACTGCGAGGCAAAGCCCAGGATAAAGTAGCTGAGACACGACGCGTTGATGCCCGTCACCAGCCAACCCATGTACCACAGGATGATGGAGAGGTTGAGATAGGCGAAGATCTTCTTCCGCCAGAACCGGTAGGCAACCCAGAACGGGATGGGGACCGCAAATCCGAGCAGGAAAGAGAGCGTCACCCACTGATACCGAGCGCCGACCGAGAACATGTCCTTGGCAATACTCCACGAGATGGCTAAGCTGTTGAACTGCTGGACGTTCGCTCCACTCCAGATGTTCGTCCCCTGGATGGATGTCAAGATGGGTGCTTGACTCTGCACAATCCTGAGAAAGGAATTCCGGTTAGAAGCTGACCCATCAGTCCCAGTGAGAGAGGGAATATCTTACGTCAACATCATGAGATAGTTGAACAACGCTCCAATGACGCATCCGGCGACTTGCACGAAGAAAGTACATCGCGGTGACAGATGCACGTTCTGGGCAAGCCGCAGGTCCTTGGCGAGGACTTGTCCCATCTGGAGAGAGTTATAGGTGTAGCAAGTGAAGTAGAGATCTGACCATGTTAGGACTGGAGAATAAGACAGTGGAGGAGGAAGACTTACTCGCCAATGGCCTCCTTGGGAACATATAGCCCGCAAGCATCTGGCAGATCGGCTGGATGTTGAACTGGAACCCGGTCAATCCCATCTGCGCGCCAAAGAACAGCATAAAGAGCAGCGTCAGCAGATTGGCGATGATGAATCCCCACCAGGGCAGCGTCGACTTCATGGCATAGAGACAGACGATCCCGGCAATAAAGCTGGCCACGAGGATTGCCCCCCACCACCACTGAGGCGTCTCAACGTACTTGTTTCGAAGCATCAGCCGGTAGTGGGGATCCAGTGAGGTGTCGTTTAGCTTCTCTTCCAGTTGCTCCTCGGAAGATTGCTGGTTGGCCCAGAATTTATACGTGGACGGTTGAATCCATTTCTTGAGCTTGCTCGGGGCCGCCCATTCCCATCCGGCCTTGATGTCATCAAAGTTCCAGAGAAACATGTGCGTGAGGGTCGCGGTGATGCCCATGTTCGTTGTGATGAGGCTTGCCAGGTACGATCCAGTCAGCCACGGCACACCGTTTTGCCGCAGGGCCTCCTCATTGATGGTGGAATCAGGATTCAGGATCAGCGTCTGGTTGTAGGTGTCATAGTAGGTGGAGTTGAAGTTGTTGGTGAACAACAGCTGGGAGAGGAAGGGGAAATTCTGAGAATTCCAGACATTCCCGTAGTAGATTCCCATGAAGAGGATGATGCATCCCAGGTAGCCAATGAAAGAATTGGTCAACGCATACAGCGGGTACCACAGAGGAGATCCGAGCGAGGCAATGTAATTCCAATCGAACGACACGGACACTAGGAAAGGCTGTTAGATGTGCACGGGGCAGGGGGATCCTCCAGCAGCTACTTACGGAAACCCAGACCCTCATTTCCGGAAGCGCCGCCGAACAGGTTGGTGAAGACCAGGCTGTGTTGGTTTGCAAGGCAGAAAATCGACACACCCTCCAGCACGGGGAAAATGTACTAGTTGCACACATGTCAGCATGAGTCGCAGCCACCATTCCATCGATCTGCGCGTACCTCGGGGATGATTGTCCAGAAGAATAACATGAAGAAGACGATGTAGAAAACCTTCAACCGGGCCTTGGATTGCTGCTTGTTCTTGTGGAGCGATTCGAGCAAGCTACTGATCGGGAGGGTCATGGGCCAGAGCATCTTCGTCGGGCGAACAATGATATCACGGAGTAGACCGGCAATGCCATATCCGATGAGTTGGGAGGACAAGGTGATGAACACACCAGCCGCATGGCTCGGATAGCCGCCGTAGTACAGCTGCT